GTTATTTGTCTTAACATTCTGTAATCCCCTTATCAAGTCCAGAGCAAGGAGGAGGAAGTGGAGAGTCATTTCTCTTTGATTTTAAAATGTCTAAATGACTAACGGGCATAGGAATGGAGAAAGGCCCAGCAAGCATGTTCACTCCTTTCCCTCTTATCTTCAGCTGAGCAGGCAGGCAGGCAGACTCTTACCTCCACCTCTCAGTGAAGGGGAGGTCATTGTCAACAAGTTCCCTGAAGAACACACTGGAAGGAAGCAGAGGCAGAGGAAGTACAGAGTAAGGCCCTGTCCTCAGCCAATTAATGCGACGTTATTTGTAGTTTAAAAATCTCCTTACCTTCATTTGTGCAGAAATTCTGTTGCTGTCTATATTTTCATTGGCTAGAAGCCAGAAACATTTTCTCCAATAAGACTGCATAATTTAGGATTTTTTTTGTTTGTTTTTGTTTTTGGTTTGTTGCTGTTGAGACAGGGTTTCTCTGTTAGTTTTGGTGCCTGTCCTGGATCTCGCTCTATAGACCAGGCCTCACTCTGCCTCCCGAGTGCTGGGATTAAAGGCATGTGCCACCACCGTCTGGCAATTTAGGATATTTTAATATTTTAATCAAGGTTTTTAACAGATAAATTGTTCATGGGAAGAAACAACCCATTACAGGGTTTCATTTCTTTAAACAGACTCACTGGTTAACTTACAGAAAGCTCAGCGAGGCAGGCAGCTTCCCCGAGGCAACGGTTTGCAAACAGAATCCCTCAGAAGGCAGCGGTGGTATGGCTCCCATCGACACCTTTGTGAGGTTCTTTGTGCTTTTAAACTAGAGGAGATGTGGGAGCATTTCCACAAATGCAGTTTTGTCAATCTGAGACAGAGCTGCCTTAAGAAAGAGGCAGGGCTTGGCCTCTGGGTCTCCATATTGATTTCTTGCTAAAACAGCCGGCTTTCCTTGATGAGTGAGGCCTGGGGGAAGAGCTGGAGTGCTTCCTTCCCTGAGACCATCTCAGGTGTGACTCAGGAGGCTTTGTGCTGGAATTCACTGGACCCCTGGTTTCACTTTCTCAACTGAAGCATCCTCTTGACAAGATAGGAATGCTTCTGGAAATAATGTGCTTTTTGTTTTGTTTTTTTATGTGCTTGTTACTTTGTACAAAGTGGTCTACAAAAAACGAGGTGGTTGACAATTATGTATAGGGAAACACGTGAGGACAGTGTTCTGTACAAGCCTGAGCAGGAGTTATATGTGGCCTTCTTATCTTAACCATTTCTGCCCTTCCCCTCCCCTGCCCTCCCCCATTCTCTCCTCACATGGCTCCCGTTCTCTCTCCTCCTCTCTGCAGACAGTCTCGTACTGTGGCTCATGTTGTCTTGAGCCTGCACACTGGTTCCCATTTGTTAATACTGATTTTGCAGTCATTCTTGGTGTTTGGTGCGGTTCTAGTACCTTCCACGGAAAAGTAAATCCTCAGATCTTCCTTACATAAGGTGACATAGCCTGCGCACTTGAATCATCTCTAATGATGTGCTTTGGTCAGTGAGCATGCCGTGCGTGACAAGGGCAAAGGAATGACAAGGGGAGAAGTATCCACTTACTCCACGCACTGAAAGCATTTCTCATCTCAGTTGGTTGAACTCAGAAAGCCTGTTGCATGTGTTGCTTTAATTCTCTCAGTGTTCTTTGAATATACTTTGTAATGTTGATGATTTGATTTTCCTTTATTGTGGTGTGGGCTTTGGAATCCAGGGCCTCTGTGTGCACAGTAAGCACTCTGCTCCTAAGCTACATTCTTAACCAAGTGGTGACTTAGTGGAGTCCTAATGAGAGTGCTTCCTGGTCTTCTGAGTGTCCTAAAAACCCTAGGCTGAAGTCTAGAATGACTTTAAATAATTGATAAAGTGATAACTGGGTCCTAGTTGTTTTCTGGTGAGGTCCTATGTGTTACTTTGATAGCAGGGATGCACACCATCGGCTTTAGTTCTAAAGTATACTCCCTGAGAAAACTACTTACCATTTTCTTCCTGGGATAAATAACACACCAAGTTTGCTAAGGGACTGTAGTTGGCCTTCCATGTCCTCAGGTTCCACATCACTTTCAGCCAACTGTAGTTAGAAAATATTTGGGGGACATTGCCTCTGTAGTGAGCATGAGCTGAAGTTTTGGTTACTCCCCAAACTATGGCATAGTGACTGTTGATGTAACCTTGGGTTGGTGTCGGATGCCACATGAGAGGCATTCAACGCGTTACTGTCTGGGGTCTGGACCAGGTTTGTTTGCTCTTCCAATGAAAGGCTTTAAAGGCAGGGAAAATCTTGAGTGCAGCACACAGTTGCAGCAGGGAGATTGCAGACACTGCAGACCAATCAGCTGGCTTTTATTAGAGGCAAGGGAATGCCCACAGCAAGCACACAGAGAGGAAGACCCTTTGAGGGAGAACTTTGAGCCCCTGGCCTTCTCCATGTTTAACTAAAGCAGGGTGTGTGGAGGTCAGGGGTGCGTGAGAGGTGGGGGTTCAGGTGCCTGAAATCCAGTCTGCCCTCCACAGTTGGGGGTTTTAAGGGTCTTTGAGGGGCCTTCCTTCCCTAATTTGGGGTTGGTCAGCTTGAATAATGTCAGGGAGTTGACAGACCCACAGCTTTGGAGTCCCCCATGTTAAACTTGAACTTACCAAACAAGTCGACTGCAGGAGGATCCTACTGGGAGGGATGGATGATTGCTAGGGGTGTGGATCCCACCAGGCCTTCAGGCCTTTGTCTCAGGTCATGAGTTTCAGGAAGAAGCTGGAAGTTTGACATCTTTGTTATCCATTTGTGACCCTTCCATATCTGCCTGTCTGGGATTGCTCTAATTCCTAGTCTCAAAAGCATACCGGTGTGGGTGTGGGTGTGTGTGGGTGTGTGTGCGCATGCACTCTGTGTAAGAGACTTGAGCATCCTCCCCTATTAGAATCTTCTGGTGTCTTAGAGCTCACCCCTGAGAATGCTGAGGGGTGACACTGCGTCCAGAGCTAATAACTTGGATTGTTTGTTCTGTGGCTGATGGATCTGCTCGCTCCTGGGATTCGCTTGGCAGTCTTGTACATTGGTCCTCTCTGAACCGTGTCTCTCCTCTACCCCTTTGTTTTTTTTTCCAGTGTGTACCTGCCAGCTCACTCCCCTGAGACACAGAGAGTGAAACTCCCGGGTTGGCACTGTAGTTAGCAGTACAGAGAGCTTGACTAAGATGTTAGCAGCCCTCAGTTTGATACCCAGCTCTATTCGAAAACAACAACAGAATAGAGCGAGTCTTGAAGAGGAAGCCGCAGGGAGGGAAGGAACCACCACCGTGTCCAGTTCTTTCTGCGTTTTTTTCTGGCCTAGTAGAGGTCATGTCTCCGCTCTCTGTTGCTGCTAGCGGGTGGCTTCTTTCATCACTACCTCTCAGCCTATAGTATGGGAAAAGAAAGTGACCTGGGACCCAATTGAGAAGCTGGAGCGGTATGTCTGGACCAACTACCTTTATTCACCAGCCCCCACATGCCTAAATGAAAGAGATGGTATAGCAGAGGATCATTTGGCAAGCAGGTCGTCTTTCCAGCTTTTCCAGGTCTTCCAACATAGCCAGAGGCTTCTGGCTGCTCTCCACAGCACGGAGCATTCCACATTTGCTGGCTCTCAGCAGCATATAGCAAAGACAGTCTGTGACTGGGATGGTCACCGTGGGCCCTGGGTGAAGCAGGAAGTGCTGAGCTGCACACCACTGCCCGGCAGCTTGCTTGGACCACAGAGCTGAGAGCCCAGGGTTGCAGCCCGCACCTTCAATTGTGCTTCTGTCTGCCTGTGTTTAGAGTGTGCAAGGGAGCTTGTCATTTTGAGAACAGGAAAGCTCTTCCTAGGGAAATTCTGCAAAGGAAAGGTCTTCTCTGCTCCATGTCATCCTGACTGCCTCTTCTCAGGGAACAGCCCCTGTATCATGAGTGTGGTGTTCCGTTCAGTTCAGTGACCATTAACACGTGCTCTGTGTCCCAGCTCTGTGCATGCTGGGAACGGGGAGGTTGCAGACAGCCTCACTCCTCTCCTGTTACAACAGGAACTGCAAAGCTGCACACAGATTCATCTAGAGCGCTGCCAGGGAGTCTGGCAGAAACTTCTAGAGCAGGAGAGTTTTATTCTGTGTCTTTGCTGTCTTGCGAATCAGTCTTCCCCATGGACCTGTGACTTCACATTGCTCTTGTGCTTTATCTGATGCAGTACCCCCACAGTGCTGCCAGTGTGTGTGTGTGTGTGTGTGTGTGTGTGTGTGTGTGTGTGCGCGCGCGTGTGTGTGTACACTGAAGATTGAAGCCAAGGTCCTTCCATGTCTTATCACTGTTACATCCTCAGCTCTTTTTACTATAGTTGTAAAGTAGGGGGAAGGCAGAGTCTCACTGTGTTGCTCAGACTGGCCTGGAACTCTTGATCCTCCTGCCTCTGCCCCCCAGGCTGAGGATGAATGTGTGTGGCAGGCACTACCACGTCTAGTGCATTCTACGATCTTACCTGGCTGAGTACAGGAAGTGCTCCTCCTCTGCTGCTGCTGCTGCCAGCAGCTTCCTTAACCTTAACTCAGCCTGAGTCTCCAGCTGGAGCCAACCAGGGATATTAAGGAATGTCTCAAACCGGAACTAGCCAATATCCCCTCTGTTCCCCTCTGGAGGAGAAAGGAGCGACGACAGCCATGCTCTGAGAGCAGATGGAAAAAAAAATACTCACCTGAGATGGTTTACTTCAACAAAAAGATATACATGTATATATACTGTAAACCAGGCATTCCTTTATCAGTACTGAAAAAGGTTCAGAGCTGTTTGTCGTAAAACCTGTAGGGCTGGCATACACCTCAGTGGAGTGCTGCTGTTTCCTGCATGGATTGCCAAGCCAGGCTTTGTCCACAGGGTTCTGAGAGTGCTCCCCTGTGCTATCTGTGTAGAACCTGGGGAGTGACCTGGGAACCACATTGGACTGACTTTCCCTTTTAATCTCTTCATATTATAGTTTCACCCAGAAATACCCACCAGTAAAGTTTTTATCAGAAAAGGACCGGAAAAGGATTTTGGTAAGTTTGCACACCAGATTCACATTTATATTATTAAGAAATTTGCTCTTAATGTTGAGATTTCTACACTATTAAATTCTACCTCCTCATTTGATGTTTTATATTTTTATATAAAAATATAAAACATCCCATTTGATGTTTTATATTTCGTTTGCATTGTTTTAATGACATCACATACGGACAAGGAACCTTGTACCATTAGCAGCTACTTTTCCTTTCTGGCTCCCAGCATCCACTAAAGCTGCTCTCTATCCCCAGGGCTTTGCCCAGTTCGAGTGTCTCATGTGATGAAATGATGCACTGTGCCTTCTTATTTCTGGCTTCTTTGACTTAATGTTTCCAGTGTTGTCCCACTACCTTCCTTTTCACGGGTGAACACTGTTCTGTTTTATAGATATGTGCCATATCTGGTTTGTCCATTTCTCAGTTGATGGACACGAGCAGGTTCTACTCTGAAGCTGCTGTGAATCCTGTTGCTGTGAACGTAGGTGATGTTGTGTAGGTGTGTGGCTTCTTTCTTTGTACTCAGAGATAAAGGAAGTCTACATTGAAAAGGCCAGAATTAAGCTGTCTATAGTCAGAGACAACATGTTTGTATTTATAATATAAAGAATCCTCCTAAATAGAATTGCTAGAACTAACCAAAGGGTTCTGAGCTGAAGGATTCAGTCTATGTGGAAATCCTTGAAGCTCCATACATGCAGCTTTTAACCTTCTCTGGTTCTTGGACCTCAGTGGTGACTACCCTAGGGGCTTCCCTGACTAAGAGTCTCCTTGTTTAATATTAATGCAAGCTCTCCAGGAGAAAAATTATATCTTATTATTTTGTGGGACGCTACAAAGAGATTTTACTGTTGTGTTTTTTTTTTTTAAGTTACATCTTTTTTGAGGCACCATACACATAACATGCAATTCACTGTTTAAAGTGTAATTCGTTGGGTTGGTTTCTTTTGTAATCCCAGAGTAGCACAGCCCTCACCAAATCCAGTTTACCATAGTCATGATGCCCCAGAACCACCATATGGTAACCCTAGGCAACTGCTTACCTCTCAATCTACGTAAGTCTACCACTCAGCTTCATCATGACAGATAGGGTGACACCACATTTGTTTGTCTGTGATGGCTCCTTTTACTTAGCATGTTTCTAAGGTTCATCCATGATGAACTGGGACTATTCATGGGCTTATTGGCCATTTTTGTATCTTTGGATACTTTTTTTTTTGAGGTGACTTTTCCTTCTTATTACTGGATCATAATAGAGATTTTTGTATATTTTTGCAGGTTATTACCACATTTTTGTTCGTAAGTTGTTTTCCCATTTTGTGAAAATTCTAACCATCAAAGAATCAGCATGCACTTGGAGAGATGGGAGAATTCCTCTTTTTGCATGGACTGTGACTCAAGCTAATGCTTTGGAGAAGTCCAGCACCCTCCTTAATAGGTCAGGTGACAGTGTGGTCACCCAACGGTGGTCCCTGCGTCCCCTGACCACCAAAAGGAATTTTCCTCACAGTTGAGCATGTTTTACAGGCACAGAAATGGCAGGAACAGATGTTTTGCTGGTCAGTGTTTTAAAGGTAGCAATAAATGCACACACACACACACACAAAAAAAAAATTTGTAAGCAGCAGTAAAGGCACACAGACCTGACAGGTAGCAGTAAAAGTATGCCTTTCTCAGCCAGTGGACCCACAATATGACTTTTGTTCAGATAGCTGGACACAAGAGAAGGGAGAGGGCATCTGTCCTCCAGGCAGTCTCTGGCAAGTGTTTGTCTTCCCCAGATAAAGGAGTTGGGGCATTAGCCAGCAGGTGGAAATCAGCACACCAGTAAAACTTAGACTTCTACTAAACTATCATAATGAGATGCACATGAAAGTATGTGTGTGTGTGTGTGTGTGTGTGTGTGTGTGTGTGTGTGTGTGTCTGTATCCCTATCACCTCTACTTCAGGTGGTCTATTTTTGCTTATTTTTTTTTTAACTTTTGATGTTTGTGTTTCAGTGGTACAGTTCAGAAGTTATTGCCCAATCTAAAGTCACCAAGATTTGTCATGTCCTTTTCTAAGAGTTTTCTAGATTGGAACTTAAATTTAGGTCTGTATTATTGTAAAATGTGAGAACATGACTGCTCCACGGTATGGTTGAGGGGAAGGTTTTTATTGTGGATGAGGGAGAGAACAGCCAGAGGGCATCTGGAAGAGTCCAGAACAGGGAGAGGAAGTAGTAGACTAGACACGGCCAGTAACTGAACGCGGCCATGAGAGGAGAGATAGAGAGCAGAACAAGAGAGGGAGAACGAAGTGGGGGGCTAAAAGGATCAAGAGGGCACATGGCCAGAATGGCAGGGTTGTGTAGGAATGAGAAGCTAGGGGAAGGAAGCCCATGAGCTGGAGAAGTTTAGGGTAGGGGGTGGAGTAGAAGAACTGAGAAGCCACAGGTACCCAGTGAGCCTGGAGTCCAGCAGACACTTTGGTTTGCTGCTCGGAGCTACAGTTAGCCATTTGTCCTGAATTTCTTTTGGACCTGACAGTTTTATTTGTAGTTAATTTCTGAATATAGTGTTAGGGGAAGGGTCTTCATTCTTTTGTCTCATTTGTCCTTTACAGTCTGTCCTGGTATCTTTGCTGGGAGTGGAAAATCATCTGAATATGAGTATTTATATCTGGACTGTTGTGTCCACTGACTTACAGATCAGTGTTGATTATTATGGTTTTGTAGTAGGTTTTGAAGTTAAGTGGCATGTCATATACTTTGTTACTGCTCCCCACCTCCGTGTGCGTGTGCGTGTGCGTGTGCGTGTGTGTGTGTGTGTGTGTGTGTGTGTGTGTTGTGTTCACGTGTGCATGCTTGCATATGTGTATGTGTGTGTGTTTCTCCAAGATGGTTTGACTGTTCTGGGTCCCTTTGAAATTCCTTAAAAATTTTAGGATCAGCTTGTCAGGTTTTCCCAGGTTCTGGTAGAGACTGTTAAATCCGTAGCTCACTTTGGACCATCTTGCTGTCTTCACATTAGACTGTATTACTCTTGATAGGATCGTGGCTGTCTTTCTGCGGTTCTGGTCTTCTTCAGGGTGCCGGTAGCAGTCTGTTCTAGTCTGTGTTGCCGTGTGTCCGACTGACCACAGAGCTGAAGGTCTGCGCTTGTATTTGTGTTGCCGTAATTTCCACGGTGCAGAGTCAATAGCTTCTGTTGATGAGAAATGTCTTGGCCCGTGGTTCCGGAGACTGGGGTCCTGCATCTGTCGCCGTTACCATGTCACCCATTGGCAGGGGAAGACAGAGGCGGAGCCTTTGCTTTTATAAGGACCCCACTCCCACAGTGAAGCCACCTCCCATCCCTGTTGCCTCAGGAAGTGACTTTCTGACAAGGGGACTTTGATGGACTCAGAGCATAGGCACACTGGTAGGTAAATACCTATCGTGGTCTTGCCAAGGCTTTCTTGCAGGTTTTCTTTCTCTTTATACCTTACTGCTACAGATGCGCTTAGAATTTCTGGTTCATGTGCCATCTCATAGGGTAAGGACATTTCAGCATCACTTGGTACCTGAGTCTGGCATATTGTTGCTGAAACCTAAGGCCTTTTGCATAGTGGTCGAAGCCTTAGACATGGAGGTTTGTCTGGAAATTTATTTTTGTCGATTTGCGGGGCAGCGTAAATTAAATGCTCACCTTAAACAAGGCTATTTGAGCTATCCATTAGTTCCCAGAAGAGCAAGAAATACATGGGCGTTGACACGAGCTGGTAAGTTCAGAGCTGTGCTATGTCAGGGTTCACCGTTGGTCTTCCTGGGGTTGTTTCCATGTGAAATAGTTGTCTGATGGGATAAAATTTACAGTTAGAACAGTATAACTGCATAGGTACGTTATGAAAACCCTCCATTATTTTCTCTAGAAAGGAAACAAAAGGAATCTAGTGTACCTTAGTCCATGTTGCACAAGATGCCTCCAGGAGTTGCCTGCTGAGGGTGTGGGAATGTTAGGAGCAGGCATGTGTAGTTAGGCAGCTGTATTTCTGCTCCTGTGGATGTCTGCAGGTCTTCTGGCTGCAGAGACACTAGAGCACCACAGGGGAGCTCACCTCAGAAACATTTGCACGGGGATGGGTGGAGTGTCAGTCAAAACAGTGAGAGTTTTTAATTTGTAATCATGGACCTCTTGGGAAGCGTAACTAGGTGAAGCCGATGAAAATTTGCTGGAACTGGTGGTACCTTTGGCCTGCAGTCCTAGCTACTCAGAAGACTGAAGCAAGAAAATCATTAAATCAAGGCTTCTCTGGACTACAAAGTGAGTTCAGGCATCTTAGCAAGACCCTGTCTCAAAAGTGAAAAGAAAACCAGGGATCTGGATGTGCACAGCTCTGGGAAAGAACATTTGCTTAGCATGTGTGAGGTCTGGATTCAACCCCCAGGACCCCCAGAAAGGAGAGATTAAATGAAATGAGCTGTCATCCCGAGTCAGGTACTAGAGAGTGTCACATTTGGATCAGATATTTTCCCAGAAAATCATTTTATTATAGATACTGTATTCCATGTAAGTAGAATATAAGTGTACTGATATAACAAAATACTTGAAGGTGGGCACTTTTAATTCTCCTGCCTCACCCTACCCAGTATTAGTATTGTAGGGGAATTAGAACATCAGTTAACCTAGTCCAAGTGGAGAAAGAACAGGACAAGATAATGGCTGCCATCCCTGTCTGCCTCCTGAGCTGGTGTGTTGCATTCCCATCTTCCGTTCTCTGCTGGAAGGAAGCCATTTTTTCCTCACCCCACACTCCATGGTAACATTCAATTTGAGTGAATTCTTCTTTGCATTTTCAGAATATTTTTAAACACAATTAGCATGGCACATCTGTGGTGATTAGTTAGGATTTAGGAAAGATGTTGCCGTTTGCCCTCCAATGCTGGTCCCTTTGCTGCCTCCTTGGCTCTGGAGAGCTGCAGCCCTCATGTTTCTGTTCCCACTCAGATGTAACCAGTCAGGGGAGCATTACTTACGGCTTTCCTCTAGAACATCGATGGTTCTCACTTGTTCTTAGAACTAATTGGGAAGATGCTAGTTTTGCATGACAGCTTTTTTAAGTATAACTGAAATATATACTTTTTTGGTAGTTAGCCAAGTCCTCTGCGCTTTGCTGACATTTTGCTAAAGTGATTCTAAACATTAGCAGTAGTGGTTTTAGAGCTGTGAGCCATCATCCTTCAGTACCCATAAGGATAGCTTCTAAGGCCTCATGGGTAACAGAATCTGAGGGTGCCTTTTTATGTAGCTTGGGTTGGTATTTGCACAGAACATGTACCTCCCCTTCTGCGCTTTAAATTATCTATAGATGGCTGTACCTCATACAATGTAAATTACACTCAATTATGTGTGATATCATATCATTCAGGGAATGATGCCAAGATAATCACCTGTGTGTATTTGGTTCAGATACAGCCATTGTAGACCACACTACAGTTCCAGTCCAGATCCCTTGAATCAATGGGTGTGGACCTGAAGATATGGAAAGGTCATCTGTTGGAGTAGTCAGTATTTCATCTGTTGTAATACACGTTTTTGTATTGTGCAACTCTGCTGATGGAGAGCGTTTGAACCGAGTAGCTGAGTAGCTGGGTTTTTTTTTTTGTGCTATTCCTTGAATATTGTCTAATAGTTGAAGATAGCTGAGCAATGTTCAGGTAGTAAGGCTTCTTTGCTCTGGAGTGAGTCTGTCAAGATGCTGCCATAAAGCCTTTCCTGGTTGCGCCTTACCCGCTGCCAGACTTTTAGTTGTACGCCAAAGCTGTGTCTCCATGTCATCACTGTTTTTTCTGGGGGTGTCCCAATACAGATCACTGGAGGTGCGGGCTTTGTGGGCTCCCATCTCACTGACAAACTTATGATGGATGGCCATGAGGTGACCGTGGTGGACAACTTCTTCACAGGCAGGAAGAGAAATGTGGAACACTGGATTGGCCATGAGAACTTCGAGCTGATTAACCATGATGTGGTGGAGCCCCTCTACATTGAAGGTGATTGTTATCACATTGCATTTTTTGATGTTTTTATCCTATGTAAGGTACAGTCCTAGTTTCCAGAAGAAGGGTGGTTATTGCCAGGTGAATGCCTCTCCACTGCCATGTGGCTTCCCAAGTCTTCAAATTGGTCTGTGGATGTAGCCTGTGTGGTGCACAGCATTTATGGTCTAAGTGTTGCATGTTGAGGTTCTAATTCCTAGGGTAATGGTGCTGGGAAGTGGGGCCTTTGGAGGATGGTCAGCTCATGGGGATGGTTCCCTCCTATATAGGGATTAGTGCCCTTAAAAATGTTAAAAGCACCCCCTCACCCTTAACACAGTGAGACACAATGAGAATATACCATTTATAAACCAAGAAGTGAGTCCTCCACAGACCCCATGTCTTCAAGCACCGCTGTCTTTGACTCCCCAGCCTCCAGTGTAGAAATGGATTTCTTCTGTTTACATGCCAGCAGCATATGGCATTTCATTATAGTGAGCCGAGTGAACTAAGACAACATCCCTGCTCTCTGATAAGGCTGATGCTTGATGCTTACATGTTGTTACTTTTAGTACCTTATAGGAAGTTGGCTATTATAAAATGGACCAAAGATCCATCTATAAAGCTTTGGTTTTATTGGATGGTTTTATTAGCAGGTGTTGTGGACCTTTGGGATGGGTGGCATTAGGTTGTCATGAGTACACTCTTAAAGAGGATTGTGGGTCTTAGCCCATTCTCTTTCTCTGCCTCAGGGTTGATGATAAAAATATGTTGTTCCATCATACACTTGTGCCATGATGTGGCTTCTTCCAAAGGTCCTCAAATCATGAAGCTATCTGATTTTAGATTATAGCCTCTTGAATTGTCAGCCAAAAATAACCTCTTTCTCTTATAAGTTAATTATCTTTGGTATAAAGTGCTGTGGTTTTTTGTTGTTGTTGCTGATATTTGGGGGGTTTGGGGGGTTTTGTTTTGTTTTGCGACAGGGTATCTGTGTACTCCCAACTGTCCAGAAACTTACTCTGTAGACTTGGCTGACCTCAAACTCAGAACTCACAGAGATTTATCTGCCTCTGCCTCTGCCTCCCAGATTAAAGGCATGCATCATCACTGCCTGGCCAGAATGCTGTTATTGCAGCTTTTGAATAATGAGATCTCAGTTTTAAATGTATAAAGCCTTCGGGGAACCTGGCCACTTTATAAGATTGTGGTTGGGGCAATAGTGGGTGGATGGTGGCTCTGCAAATGTTGTAACCTGCAGAAGTTGTCAGTGAGCATTTCTAGGGACAGTGGGTCTTTGCATAGGTGATTGAGAATCACAGTCTGGCTTTCAGTTTTAGTGGAGGCTGTCTGTAGTGGGTAGCCATTCCAGCTTTGATCTGGAAGTTCCAACCCCCATTGAGGCTTCGGTAACTGTCTCGCCTACAAGGTGGGCCTGAGAGAGGACCCTAAAGACCCAAGTGGAAATCAGGAAGGACACAGACACTAGGGGAGAAGGGCCTGTGAAGATCCAGGCTGAGTGCCGTTGTGCAGCCCCAGCCCTGAAAAGGAAGTTTGCCCATGAAGCCTTTGTGCATGGACAGCTGGAACCTGTGTCAGACATCTGGTTTGCAGAACTGTGTGGAAGTAAACATCTGGTGTTTCATCCCTTGGTTGTGTTGTATCAGTCACATCTATCAAAGGAAGTGAGTTCAGGGGCCTAAGATAACATTCCTCTGAAGTCCTCCACGGTGTGCTGGTGAGAACTGCCATCTGGGGACCTAGCATCATGCTCTTGTTAATCTAACAGTAGCACAGGAGCTAAATGGTGTCACACTCCACCTCCCTTAACCATACAGAAACCCCAGGGTAACTGGAGCCTGCTATAGTCGGTAGAGTCCTGCTTGGGTTGTTGGAGTCCAAGGCTTCTGTAGCCACACCCGCTCCCACCACCACTCCAACCACCACTGAAGGTACCGTGCAAGCTTCTGCCTTCCCATTGCTGCCTGTGAAAGAGTGTGCTGAGGCTGTACAGCATTTATGTAATCTTATGTAAGGCCCTCCTGTGTGCTTTTTCAGAAATGCCATTGCTGGAATTTCATCCCCTCAGTACAACAGTCTAAATAGGAGTCATACAAATGATACTGCATCGCCTTCATGTATAAACTGACAACATGACTGCTCCATGGTATGGGGAAGGGGAAGGTTTTTATTGTAGATAGGAGAGAGAGAATAGCCAGAGGCACCTAGAAGAGTCCAGAGCAGAAAAAGTAGCGGGCTAAATATGGCCAGCAGACTGGACCTGGTCATGAGAGAAGCAGGGGACAGAGAAGGGGTGAGAGTCGGGGGCGGGGAGACAGGAAGAGGGGAGAGCAGGGAGACAGAGAGAGGGCATAGCTAAAATAACGGGGTTAAGGATAATTCATAGTTGGGGTGGGGGCGATGTATAGCTTTGTGCTGGAGGAGCTTAAGGGAGGGGAAGTGAAAAGAGCCAGGGTGCTGCGATGCTAGCATGGACTTTAAATTGTGCAGTGGGTTGAGGAAACATGGAGGCCAGCATGTGACCTCTCAAGATGACCGGGTTATGTGATCTGCAGTGTTTTCAAACACAGTCATGGTGTTCTTTGTCAGGTTCCTCCCCACCCCCACCCAGTGTCCTTTTAAGGCACTTAACTTGTTTAACTGGCCTGTGTGGCTCATCTGGGGACCGGGCTGTAGTTCGTACAGAGTGGACTAGGTGACCTCCCCTCCCCTGGACATCCTTGTAGGTGGCTCTGGGTCAACTGAGGAAATGCTTGCTACTTGCTAGCAGTAGGGGTTCTGAAGTTGCCTCCTAGAACTCAGCCCGGGGGGCAGCAGGACACTACTAGCAGGCTTCTGTGGCTGCCTCCAAGGCCGTGCACCAACCGTGCAGAGTACAGACCCATGTGAGACAGTCTCCGTATAAACATAGCGTAGTCTTACTCTCTTTGTTGGACGTTAGATTGTTGGTGTTGAAGCTGTCAGAAACACGCTGTGAAAGCCATCCTACGGAATGACCTCTGGAACGGTCATCCTAGGACTCCTGTTCAGGCTCCTGAGGCAGAGAGCCTGCACTTTGCTGGGAGCTCTTCCATTTTGTTGTTCCAGCATCTGCGTAAACGCAGATGTGGAGAGCAGCTCTTCTGCAGTGCTCAGAGAGCAGCGGTACCCAGGAAGGAGCCCAGGGGAGAAGGGGTGAGAGTGATCGGCAGCACTTAATACCAACGCTGTCGGCTTGGCAAGCTCGGCTTTCCCTGTGCTCGTGTGGCAGCGGGGGTTACCCTCGGTACACCACGCCACAGCAGCCCCTTAGCACACGCTTCAGTGCTGGGAGAAGGGAAAGGACGCCAGGGAAGGGAAGTAAGAGATGCTGGGCTGCCTCCCTCTCATGGGCACCCAGGTAAAAAGCAGGCTTGAGAAAGTGCATTTGCAGAGGGGCTTGTTGTGCTCTGAGAATATTTTAGTTTACTGTAATTAAGAATTAATGTCTCAACTTTGATTTTACGCCCAAGTATAAATACATACTGAAGGAGGTGGTAGATCTCAGAGGTCCTTTCTGTTTAATTTACAACAGAGGGCTTCGTGTAGAGCATTGTGGACACACAAGAAGAGAGCCCTGAAACACCCCAGACAAATTGCTAAATGGTCTTATATTGGGGTGAAAATCGAGAGATCAGAGGAATAGGACAAGCCACAGCCAACCTCACCTTACAGACTCCTCAGCCTCCAGAGAGAGCTACTTCCTGTTTACCCACGCCTATATGCCTTTCTGTGCCTGCCATCTCACTTCCCCTTTCCACCCAGCTACATCACTTCCTCTTTCTGCCCAGCTCTGTCACTTCTTGCCTGTCTGTACAGACCTCCAGACCTCTATGGTTAACTAGTGTTGGAATTAAAGCTGTGTGCCACCATGCCTGGCTCTGTTCCCAGTGTGGCCTTGAACTCACAGAGATCCACATGGATCTCTGCCTCCCGAATGCTAGGATTAGAGGTGTGTGCTACCATTGCCTGACCTCTATGTTTAATCCAGTGGCTAGCTTTTCCCTCTGATCCTCAGATGAGCTTTATTGGGGTACATAGATAAAATATCACCACACAGCCCCAGGCTGAGCCAGGCCTTTGGCATGTGCAGCCTTCTTATAAAGTTCTGTTTGAGAGGAATCAAGGCCCAGTCCCACTCTTGCATTGAGCCGAGAGGAGTATGCAGAGTTGTATATGTCCTGGAATCCTGATTCTCACTGTAAATGCTGCTGTCAAGGCCTCAGGCTGGGGCTACTCTGAGGAGCCCCATGTTAGGAGCGCATCCAGACAGTCCTCCCTAAGTACCTGTGCTAGCTGGTTTATTGACAGCTTGAGACAGATAGAGAGGTTTGAGAACAGGAAACCTCACCTGAGAAAATGCCCCTCCAGACTGACCTTTGGGCAAGCCTGTGGGGCATTTTCTTGATTGATATTGGAAGGCCCAACTTATTATGGGCAGTACCATCCCTGGGCTGGTGGGCCTGGGTGCACTAAGAAAGCTAGCTGAGTAAGCCATGAAGAGGAACAAGCCAGTTAAGCACTGTTCTACCATGGACTCTGTATCAGTTCCTCTCTCCAGGTTCCTGTCTTGAATTCCTGCCCTGACTTCCTTTGATGATGAACTATGATGTGGAAGTGTAAGATGAAATAACCCCCCCTCCCCCGGCTCCCCAAGTTGTTTTTGGTCATAGTGTTTTATCACAGCTATAGAAACCCAGGTAAGACAGTGGAGGATGGTCCCAGATCCCTATGAGCACAGCATCCATAGATGCTCAGGTCCCACACAGAAGCTCCGCACACCTACCTGGCACTTAGTGTATCATGTGCACCCTGGTTGCTGCAAAGCAGTTGCTATAGTGGAATCATGACAGGGAAAGGCTGCATGTGCTCAGTGGAGATACAGTCCTGGGGGGAGTTTTGATCTGTAGTTGTTCTCATTTGTGGATGTAGATCCTTTGGAAATGGGGCTGACTGCATTTCTGCCAAGTCTTTGACGTGGAGTATAGAAAAGAGAGTCTTACAGAAGCTCTCTCTATGCACACTTTCACAGACCGACACCTAGTGATGTCAGTCTTCGGTGTCATGGTGCAGTCCTTAACTGGTGTGTAGCAGTGCTATTTATAGCATGGGCCCCATCCCAGAGGAACCTTAGTGCCACCTGAGACATCAGGAGAGCATGTTATTCTGCAGTTGACTGCATAAGGGTCTGTGTCTAGAGGAAGACAACTCCTGATTCCCTGGTGCCTTCTGAAAATGGCTCTGGGTTCTCTCAGGAGTCTTCCATCTGCAGGGCATGCAGGAAGCCCCTTTCTGGTGCCAGTTTTCCCCTCCCCTGGCAACCTCAGTGCCCTCCTGCCCCACCCTTCCAGCATATAGGCAAGTGCCTGACTTTGGGAGGCATGCCTGATGATCAAATGGAAGTCTCTCAAGGATTTTTCTCCAGGTTCTTTTACCTAGCTAAGACCACAGCTCATAGCCTTGCAAATGCAATCGGGTCAGGCGGCAGCACTGGCAGCCCACATCCAGAGACACAGAGCAGTGTTTGCAGTGGGTGCATTGGCAGCCTCTCTCCACTTTTAAATGTGCTTTGAACTCACAGCTGACATGTTCTCAGGCTTTTTCTCTGGCTATTGAGTGTTATTAACCTTGTAGCTTTATTTACATTCCAGAGCCAGCTATTAATATTGCTTGAGGCAGCTCACATTTGCACTTGTTTGCCCCTGCTCCGAAGTTTCCCTTTCCTCTTCATAAATCCTCGGCAGATTAATTAAGTCAACAGTCCGTGCAGTTGTCCTTTTCAGGACAGGAGCAGGGGTATTGCGGGCAGTGTTACAAGTGGAACACATTTGCAGAGAAGTGGGCTGTGTAGAGCCTGGATTTTCATGCAGTGTTCCGGTTCTCCTTAACTGGACCACTGGACCTAAGTAGAGGTCCTGATGTAACTGTGCAGGACACCCCTCATCTTTCCGGGAAAACCAGGAGGGCCAACGTGTCACATGGCAGAAAAACAAACCAGATAGAGTAGCTCCGGAGGGGGAGGGAGTGGAAAAGACCTAGTTTATGTCTTAGATCACTACTCTCTTAACTTGGGCTTTTCCCAGGGCTGTGGGCTGGGGAGTACTGGGGAGGGCTCTTTGTTTTCCATCGACTGTTTCCAGGTCCACCAAGAGGTCCTGATAGCAGTAGTGGGCTTGGGACTCTGCATTTGGGCTTTGAGGTCATTGCTGAGTAGAGGTGGGAGAACAGTGCCCAAGTAGCTTGTTGGTTGCTGGACAGATCACTTGACAGTTGAAGTCACTGGCTAGCAGCATGAGTGGCCAGCCCCAGAGGGATGGTGTCTGACTAGGGCAGCAAGACGTTTCCCATACAAAACGGCATCAGGGTGAGCCCAGAAGGCTGGGCTGGAGTGATGGGAAGGAGGGCAGCTTACAGCTCCATGGCTTCTGTTCAGTGTCAGTGGACTCACAGGATGCACTCGCCCTCTTAGTTCTCCAGGCTCCGCCCTCTTAGGACAGGGCTCTTTATAGCCCGGGCTGACTTGGACTTGTTCTGTAGCTAAGGTACACACTGGGAATCCAGGCACTTGGGAGTTAGAGGCAAGGGGATCAGAAGTTCAAGGTCCTGGGCTAATGAGGCTGTCAGAAAAGAAAGAAAAACAAAGAAACAAGTGAAACCGCAAATTTGTGCTAAATCCGAGGTATTTCTGGCAGTGCTTGGCCATGGTTCATTGTGTGACCTCACTGTAGCCTTGATCTGAACACACGGCATGCACATGGCACTGCATGTACAATGCAGTTCCTGCAGTGCAGTGCGGTGCATGCCAGCCAGTGCTCTGATGTGAGACTATTGTACAATATGAACTGTGCTGTGTAGCAGGAATCTTAAAGAGTCTTATTAATAAAATCAAACCCGAGCCAGGTATTGGGGTGAACTGGAAGGTCAGAGAACCAGAACAAGCCACAGCCACCTCACCTTGCCGGATCCTCGGCTGGTCTTGTTTCCTCAGACTGGAAACCTCTGTGTCCTCATATCCGAATGGCTCTCAGCTGAACTGTGCTGCTCAAAACCTAAAAGCTTAACCAGCCAAATGCTTCTAGTTTCTGGTCTTCACGCCTTATATACCTTTCTGCTTTCTACCATCACTCCCTGGGATTAAAGGCATGAGTCACCATGCTTGGCTGTATCCTTGAACAGATGGATTTCTGCCTCTGGAATGCTAGGATTAAAGGCATGTGCTACCACTGCCTATCCTAAGAATCTAGTGGCTTTTCTGTTCTCTGACCCCAGATAAGTTTATTAGGGTACACAATATTTTGGGGAACACAATACCACCATAGTGCTGCTTTTACCAAAGGCATCATAGTTTTCCTATCCCCAGCATAGAATTATCAAATATTATAGGTTGTATTATAGATTGATGTTTGATTTTGAAACATACTATGTGAGTTGCTGACTTGGAAACAGCCCGAGTTTCCAAACCTGAACTGTCCTAAGCCCACTCTACTGTTGGTACTGCACACTTACCGGAAGTGATGTTCTCAGTGTTGAGGATTCTGAAGTCAGAATCTCCATCAGTTCCGAAAAGCATTAAAGGTGCTTCTGCCCTGCAGTAGCAGTGTTCAAGCGGGATCTGATGATTCTCTATGTAAAATAAAAACCACATCCGTCTCTTTAGTGTAGATTTGCTTCCATCTTCAGTAAATGCTGTAATTATACACATACTAAAGAATTATTCTAAAGTCAATTTCTTTGTGATTTATTATTAGCGTTTGCTTTGTTTGAAGTTGTTGAGAATGTAATTGGTATCTATATGGAACAATATATTAGTAGAATTTCAGCATAAGACAAACTGGCACTGTTGTTCATGATTTAGAAACAACGTCATTTTTCTTAGAAATAATACCCTTCTCTTTTGCCTCCTTTAGTTGATCAGATTTACCATCTGGCATCTCCAGCCTCCCCTCCGAACTACATGTACAACCCCATTAAGACACTGAAGACTAATACAATTGGAACGCTAAACATGTTGGGTCAGTAAGTTGCCTTTTTTTCTTCCTTTCTGGGAATAGTTTAAGCAATTCCAAACGTGCACAGTGGCGAGACTTCCATCCATAATGTGTATTCCAAGACCCCTGTGATTGCTCAAACTTAGATTGTACCAAATCCTGCAACTTAGTGTCTTTTCCATTTTGAGTCAGCACATGAGCCCTGTGTACTTAGCTTTTACACCAGCAAAGCTAGAACATGTTTCTTTTTTTCTTCACAACTGCTCCAATAGAAGAAGACTCATTCTTAGCATAGATCTTTTCACCCTCAGCATGGGGGTGGGAAGCATCAGGGTTAGGAGAAGGTGATGGGCTTTTCAACCATATGGTGGGAGTCTGGGACAAGTGTGGAGGACTCTCCGTGTTTGCTTGACCCCACACTTAGTGGTGGTTTAGTTGTTCTTGTGTGGGTGCCGAGTGTAGGAAAGCGGTTTGGGGCAGGACTGAGGATTGTGGTGGCTACATTCTAGAAGGTTCCCGTAGGTGGAGCCTGGAAGACAGCATAAGAATACAGGTGGTTGCCCAGCTAGGGTATGCAGAAGAGGTGGTGGATGTGCCATTTGGGGAGGTAGGATGAGAAGCATCTTGTCTTGCTATGTAACCTGCCAGGGTGGTTACTTAATAAAATACAGGGTAGCCACAAAAGACGATGCAGAGGCAACAGTCTTGCAGACACTCCAGGACTGATGGACATGTGAACTCACAGAGACTGTGGCAGCACACGCAGGACCTGAACAGGTTCAAGCCAGACAGGCTCCCAGCACTGACAGGACACAGTAGACACAGCCCCCACCCCTAACCAGGAAGCTATCTCCAGTTGGCATCTGCTTGCAAAGGAAAAATTACTTTTCTCCAATGGAGTCTCACTGGATATAGTAACCACACTTTAAAGGTTGGCCCAAAGCCCAGTGATGGTCAACACAAAACGAACGCAGTGGTCTTTTTGTAGATTTTGTGTGTGTGTGTGTGTGTGTGTGTGTGTGTGTGTGTGTGTGTGTGTGTGTGTCTCATAATGCTTTGTTTGGGCATTTTATGTCTTACAGATCTTTTGCTTATGTATTATGGTTTCCAATTTTGTGTTTGCGTAGGTTTTGTCTTTGAGCGAATCTCCGTGTGTGTGTTTCTTGTGCTTTTTCTTTTTTAAATTTGGTTTGTTTGCTTTTTCGTTTGCCTATTTGTTTTATAGAGAGAGAAAAAGAGTTGGGTGGATGGAAAGGTGGAGAGGAGCTGGGCGGGGGGAGTTGGGGGGGAACCACGATCAGAATATCTTCCATGAATAAAAATTGTTTTTCAATTAAAAAAAACAAAAACAATGGTGTGAGATAGCATTTTTGGAGCATAGAAGTCTGTGCAAAGCTCCTGGACCCACATTGTACTCATCAGAGTCTGGATCTGGCCAAGCTTGTAGCTCCCACTTTTAACTGAAATGCTGCTATTTTAAAGGGTCCATTTGCATTTTTCTTCTTGCTGTTTTTTTCATTGTGGTTCCATGGCAGATGCACTAGGAGTAGATAAATAATTTGGTGGACGCTCGGGCACGTGCAGGACTAAAACATTGCTTACATTGGTCGCACGCATGCACGCACTCACGCATGCACACGCCTGCCCGTGTGAGCTGACAGTTTTTCTGATGACATGTACACTTTCTGCAGGACTGGCAAAGCGCGTGGGTGCCCGTCTGCTCCTGGCCTCCACATCTGAGGTATATGGAGGTGAGTGATGGGGCCCCTGAAAGATGCCCGCTGACCCGTGGGGCTGTTTGCATCCTGTCCTAGCTAAGATGGAATCAAAGTCCAGGATTCCATTTAGAAAGCTCAAGCTGTTGACACAGCCTCTCTTTTGGTGTCTACTCTGTGAGGCCTGGGTCACGTGAACTGTCCAGTGAGGATGAGGTGGAGGTTTTCCATTCTGCTCTGAAAACATCTCAGAGATTACCAACATGAAGTCACTTTTCACCTTTTGCTGGCACGTTACTCTTCCATGAGAGCAATGAGTGCTGGCTGCCTGGCCACCGAGAGCCTGCAGGGTGACCTGAGAGCTGCCTGGTGATGGACACGTGCTCACCGCCTCACCTGTTACAGAAAGGTTGCAGGAAGAACCTTAGTAGACAGTGCCCAGTAAACTCCAGGTCACGTTTAACCCACCCACCGCCTTCGTGGTCTCCCCTGAGCTATCCACACCCGGGAGCTTACGTCAGGAATGGGGAGGGGGCGCATTTTTCAATTCATGTTGGTTCCTACCCAGTCCAGAGCCAGGTGGCTGCAGGGTGTGGAAGAACCTTCACCTGGAACAGCGTGACACCAGACCCCGACATTTTATGTACATACATATTTTTTTTTTCTCTTTTTACATTATTCTTCTGAACAAGGGAAATGAGGGTGTTAAGGTGTAAAATGAGAAGAGACCATCTTTGAAGTAAGTTTGCCAGGTGGAGAAACAGCATAGCAATAGGAAAATTCTACAGCAATCCGTTGTGACTGCCATGAAAGGGTAACACATCCTCCTCTCTTTTGAAGTCCTGGGCAATTGAAGGGCAAAATAGGTGCCCCAGCCTCACCCCATCTGTGTCTAAAAGGCACAGTGGCCCCCTGCCTTCCTCACCAGCATTTCTTTGCATGTTTGTCTCGGGGAGTCTTAAGTAATGAGGGTGGTGTGATTCCTGTGGTTTGGCACTTTCTCTTCCCGTGCTCCTAGTGCAGCGTCTGCCTACCCTGGCAGCCTCACAAAATGGGGGTGAGGAGGGCAAGGATCAGAAAGCTTTCCCTTGTTTTGTCTTTTGAAACAGAACGCAGCCCAGGCTGGGCTCCAGTTTGCTATAGCCTAGGCTGGCTTCCACTTGTGCCGAGATGATCGACACTCACTGCCACACCTGGCTTTGGGGAATCGTTTTTACTAACCCTTTATGTGCATGCTCACGTACACATGCTTGCTGATAGGAGCGTGAGCACATGGAGGTATTCCGTGTGCATGCAGGTGCACATGCGTTTGTGAAGGGCAGAGACCAACTTGGGAGTCTGGTTCCTTAGTGTTGTTTACCTAGTCTAGAGCTCACCCAGTAGGGTAGGGTGCCTGGCCACAGACCCCAGGAGTCTGCCTCTCTCTGCCTCCTCCATGCTGAGATTACAAAGTCGGTACTACTATGCCCAGCCTTTTTGTCTTTTTTAGTGGGTTCTGGGCCTAGAACTTGGGACCTTGTGCTTGCAAAGGAAGTACTTTAGTGAGTCACCGTCCCAGTCCCAGCCCTTTACCCCTACCGCTCCTGCCCTGCCCCCATGGTGTCCTGAGGTAACTTTGTGAAGGAGCTTTTTGAGAAGCTTGATGCCCTGAACATTCCAGCCCAGAATGGTGCCAAGACTGAATGGCTGTGCCTGGCTTCCTCCCGTGCCAGAAATGTATGAGCACCTCCTCAGGGGTCTGGCTTCTCAGACGCTAGGAAAAAGCCTGATCTTGGTCATATCTTTGTGAACATAAGTCATTAGTTTTCTTTTTTCAGGGAGTCTTTGCCTTCGACCTCTTCTCTCCTGTGTACCTTGCCTCTTGCTGGGGGGATTTTCACTCACAGAATCAAGCCTCGCTGCACTGTACGGGACTGCAGAGTCGTAGCTGCTTCCTGAAGGCTTGGCTGACTCAGAGCCATGTGCCAGGGGTCCACCCATATATTCTCCTCTCTTACTTCTGACAAGTCTGGGGTCAAGCCATGTGCAAAATACGTCAGCTGTGGATTTATAGCACAGAGTTGCTTATGGTTTTGTCTAGATTTCTTGGAAGAGACTTATAGCATTTATAGCATGGTTGGATGCACATGTATATGTAGGAAGGTCTTGGTGCCCTAGATAAAATAAGTATTAATTCCTGTTTTACAAATACACTTGAGTTAAATAAAGACTTTGTCATTTGGTTGTTTTTAATAGTTTATTCCTTGAATACGTCTTTAAGTGTTGATTTATTTATGCAGTAGCAAAGCACGGATTGGGAATTTTGTCTACCTGTGGATGCTGTTGCCCAGCACCTGCCCTGCACAGGGCCCCAGGATTGTCTTCATCATGGGCCTCCAATTGTTGGACAGAAGGCCAGTGTGCTCCACAGAAAGGCTGTTTTAGACCCTTTCTATGAGTGTCTGCTTTATTCTAATTACATCCTTTATGAAACCGAGCCATGTATCTTCCACGAACACTAAGAATCATTTCAGGAATAGAGGGAAGACACAATTAAGAGGCTTTGGCCTTCTGCTTTTGAACCTGTGAACTGCTGTGTGACTCGCTGAGGCAGGGAGGATACCAGGCGCCCTGAAACTGAGGAGAGAGAGGCACAGAACACTGAGCTGCCCTCATGCACTTCTCCGTTTTCAAATGTTTACCTAGGCCCGCCGTAAACAGACATTGTTCCTGTAACGGACTGGGATCTGGGGAGGGACCAAAAATGAAGTCTCATTTTCTCATGCTTCCTCATAGATCCTGAGGTCCACCCTCAAAGTGAGGACTACTGGGGCCACGTGAATCCCATAGGACCCCGGGCCTGCTACGACGAGGGCAAACGTGTCGCAGAGACCATGTGCTATGCCTACATGAAGCAGGTATCGGTCCAGACTCGTGCTGCTGCTTTGGACACATGTGAAGCACTCTGTGGACGGGATAAACCCCAGGGCTGATGACATCTGCGAGTGGGTGTTGGGAAGGCTTGGTGTCCACTGTTACAGATGAATGGTGTTACCAACTGTTTCTACACCTCTCCTTGTTTTCAAAATGAGATGAACTCGTTTCTAGTACTGTAAGGGGGCTGGGAACAGCATGCTTCCCTAGTGTCCTTTGCCCACCAGCAGCTAACATCTGCCTCTTTTTCCAAGGTCTCCAGGTTGATGTGGTTTATTTTTAATAGTTATTTATTATGTGTGTGTATTTATGTTCTTGTGTGGGGGTGCCTGTGCATGCATGTGCACTTTCGTGGAGGTAGCAGGAACTTGCAGATCACCTGGTCTTGCTAGCCAGCTTGCACCAGGAATCCTGTTTCCTCCCACAGTGTGTTGGGAGGAAACTGGTTTTTATGTTGGTCCTGGGCCTCTGGCCTTCATCCTCGTACAGCATGCACTTCGCCCCCTGAGCCACCTCCCCAGCCATGGTAGAGGCTTTAAATCATCCTTCTGGTCATCTTTTAGTGTAGAATGGAATTGCTGGTTGCTTTAATATGGACCTCTAGGAGGTTCTATTTCACTGTCCTCTCCTGCGTGCGTGATTATTCATGGTTACACTGGGTGCTTCCAGCATGGGTGTTTCATCTCACTCACAGACCAAGAGGCCAAGGTTCCCTCACTGGCTCTACCGTAACATGAGTTGGAGATGGCTGGGCACTCTGATCTTTGATATGGGCTTGTGGCTTTGCCCTGTAGGGTTGGGCAGAGCAGCAGAAGGCATGTTGTATGGCCAGGTGAGGTCCTGTGCTGTTCCATCTATTTTCTCACTGAATTTCTGCTGTGCTTGCGCCAACACTCTCTGGTCCTCAGGAACTTGTTTTTTATTGAAGCAGGACATGATGGGAAATAACCATGAGTATGGAATGTAGTTTCAGGACAGTTGTGTATAGATGTGCTGTCCACCACATCTAGCCAGTGGGCAAGAGAGGAAGGCAATATGGGAGTACCTGGTACCAGAATGTAGAAACAAGGCTCTGGAGAGGTCCTAGGTCCCGTCTACTTTCTGGAGACTATCAGTCATTCTGTTACATGGATGACAGTACAGCATGAAGCTAAAGCTACCTCTTTAATGATGGGCCTGGAACACTCAGCTTCCTCTGTTTTTTAATGCTAAGATAACTTGTGCAGGTATCAGGTTCTAGAGCTCTGCTTTTTTTTTTTTTTTTTTTTTTTTTTTTTTTTTTTTTTTTTTTTAGGTTTTTCGAGACAGGGTTTCTCTGTGCAGCTTTGCGCCTTTCCTGGGACTCACTTGGTAGCCCAGGCTGGCCTCGAACTCACAGAGATCCGCCTGGCTCTGCCTCCCGAGTGCTGGGATTAAAGGCGTGCGCCACCACCGCCCGGCGAGCTCTGCTTTTTTTTATCTGCCACGGGTAGGCCTAGATTCTCATGGATGTAACGTAAATCATGAGGTGAGCTTCCCGCTTTCTGTCCCTATTCCCTGTGTTGTAAATAGTGGGCTCCTACACGGGGAGAGCCACTAGTCTGGACCATGGCTCCAGCCAGCTCAGAGATGCACCCTGGCACCTGCTCCTCTGGGTCTGAGTAGGTGCTAAGGAAAGAGAAATACCCTGCCTTTCCTCTTATCCTGTGAGAAAGAACAGACACCATGCATCTGAGACTGCTCTGGATATAGCGGGATGTTCTGTGGGTTGTAGAAATGTCAGAAGACAAGGATAAACAGAAGAAAAATGGCTGCTCGTAGTGCCATCTAGAGACAGATACCAGAGGGAAAATAAATGAGCCAGGCACCACCATTGTGAAAGCAACAGAGCATCCAAGACACAGAGAGCGTCCTGTAGCTCTGGCTTTCACGTTAGGAACCAGCAACTTGAGTCAGGTACCTGTGAGCCTGTGTGGGTTTGCCCTCTGGGTAAGATGTCTTCAGGAACACGTACTGCATTCCTTCAGGGCCCAGGCTGTATGTATGGTAGCAGTTCCTGTCTGTGACTAAGGATTTGCTGGTCTTCACTTCTCACTTTAGAGAACATAACCCACAGATCCTGATTACCGACCTCACTGCCCTGCTGGGTACCATGGTGTCCTGCCTGTCAGACGTGCCACTATCTAGAGATGATATAGTACCTGGGGTTACCCTACGTGACTAGAGTGAGTGCCCAAAGGATCAGGAGCTGGGGCTAGAGTGCCAGCAACACGCTTCGGCTTTGTCCAGATCTGTTTAATCTTCCCGCTTTCCACCAAGCATTCTTGAAGTGAGTATGGGTTACCTGCTGTTCAGATAAAAGAGTGGGCTCCAAACTTGCTCCCAGACCCCTGGCTCCTAAGTGGAGCTTGAGCCTATGGCTGGCTACCTGTACAGCATGCTCTGTCTGCTGTCTTGACAGGTTGCTGTGGATAAGGAGGTATCACTGAGTGAGAAGATGACGCAGCTCTGAATCCACGGGCATCAACTATAGGGCAATAAGCACAGTCACAGGCAACACCCAGAACAGCAGCCCATGTGGTGATACTCTAGGTACCAGTCACTTCCCACCCGGAGCTTAGCACATACATCACCATCAATTTTGAGTTCTAAATACACAGCCTTTTCTGGTAGTTTTAGAGAAAAGCATTTCAGTTGTTAGAATTTATGCTGTTAGAAAGTCTAAGTTGGATATACATTAGAATATTGTAGATTTGGTTATTTTAATAGCTATAGTTTTTTACACACAAGAATGTATCCCTTTTTGCTAATAAGTGTCTTTTTTCAGGGCTCTACATGGTGTGTAAATAAATCTAATGTAAGGAATGAAAATGTAAACAAGATAAATCAAAGTCTGAATAACCTTTTTTATTAAATAAAACTTTGCCTTTTCTTAAGGAGTTTCTTCCAAGATTCTCATAATTAGTGAAATACCCTCATTTATTCAATGTAAAGTTTTATTTCTCTGCACATCTTTTATGGAGATCAAAGGACAGAGCAGAGCGTCCTTCATGAATAGTTTGAACTTGTCAGGGAGGAACTAGGTTGTTGCTTCTGTGTGCCTGTGGGATGGAGATTTTATAATGTGGGGGCTCCCCCTCGGACTGTGGTCAGAGCTCAGGGTACATTTATACTCCTAGCCCCCTGTGAGTCTGCTTCTGAAGTCATGGCCCACCCACTCTCTGAGCTGAGTCTGCCTAACAGGCCACCATTCATAAAACCACAGACCAATAGAGCAGAAAGAGAACTCAGAAGTCAGAAGTCATCTGGGGCAATAACCTGGAGGGCATGGCTTTTTCATTTATATTTTGGCATTAGCATACTTTAAAAAAACATAGTTGCTATGTATATTACACTTAAATTGAAAAAAAAATAAGCAGCCCAACAAGCCCAGTGTTCCATGGGTAAAACTCGCCCTAGAGGGCTTGCTGTGTTTGCTGGCCCTGGCTTGTTCCCAGGTTGCCTGCTGCCACATCCTGTTGCCCCACATAGGCATCTGCAGCGTGGTATTCACTCCCTTCCGGCTTTACAGTGGTCTCAGTATAACCTGATGCATAGCAACCATAAGAGGGTCCACTTGTTAGTGTAGTAGTCACGTTATGTTTGAAGGAGATATACCAGCGAGAATCTGAAGCTGAAAGTTGAAGAGTCTATACATGTTAAGCTTTTTCTGGACCTGTATAACTATGATAAAATTTAATATATGAGTTAGGCATAGGATAATGGATCCAGTGCACTAAAGTAGTCCATTGAAGAGGATTGTCAGGCAACTGAAGGCACACATCTGGCATCCCCCAGCCTATGTGGCCTTCTGCCACCCTCTAGAGTGAATGTGAGAGTCACCCAGCCTGGTGAGCTGCATTCCACAGTGGCCTAGACCTTGTCCTTAGGTACAGATGTGAGCAGCAGCAGAGAATAAGATGATTCAGCTTGGAGATGACCTCTTAGTTAGGGATGAGAGCTCTTGTCCCTTGTGGGTCTCTGTGTTAATGACATCTACTGCAAGAAGCAGCTTCACTGATGTGGGCTGAGCAAGGCACTGATCTGTGGCCACAGCAGTATGTCATGAGGAGTCATTTTATTGCTGTGTTCCTTAGCAGATCAGTAATAGTGTTTGGTTGGACCCTAGATCCCTAGCCTATCCAGTCTCAGGTTCTTGGTCATCCAAGCATTATCCAGTGTGGGTTTCACCTCTGCGTGGGGCTGTAAATCCAGTATTGGTTGTTCCCACACAGTTTGTAGCACTATAGCACCGACATGTGCTGGCAGGTCACCACTGTAGATCTCAAGTTTTGTAGCTGGGCTGGTGGTTACCAGTTCAAGGTAAGTTAGCGGGATCGGGAGACAGAGACAAAGGGCAGGTACAAGTACAGGCATCTCTCCTTCATAAGTAATTGGGGTTCAGTATCAGTCATGAAGTGAAAGCATAGGGAAAATGGTACACGTACTGAATTTGTATACACTCTTCCCTGGAGCGGTACAGTATACAGCTTTGTGCAGGGCACTCGCATCACACTAGGTATTGAAGTCTTCCAGAGCTGACATGTGTGATTGTAAAGGTTTTGTGCAAATCCTGTCCGGGACTTTGAGATCATCAGATTTTTCTGTCTGAGGGAGGGATACTGGATACCAAAAAACATCCATCTGTCTTGGGCTCAGAACTGTGACATTGCCAGTTTTTAAAGAAGCATTACTGTTTTGTAGTCCTTGTGACATAGCAGAATGGACATTGTTGTTCCCACTTCAAACATCAGGATCATAAGTCTTAGAAAATTAAATATAGCTGGAGGATGCCAGGACAAACCTAGAGTGTTCTCTCTATGTCCACGTGCTTATGCTCAGTGGCCATGTCTTCAGGCTGGTGCTCTCTGCGTGGGGCTTTACACAAGTCTGTCTCATCTTAACTTGCCATTGGTTTTATGCTGATCTAACTCATACTTGCTGATGTTCTTGTCCTCAATGTTCAGTCTTGGGTCCATGATGCATGGCTCCCCATAAGGAACAGGGCACACAGTGGCATGAAGCACTGGCTAAGAATGAATCAGTAGTTAGTTCTGTGAATGCTGGCCTTGTACATGCTGAGTTCCTGCACCACAGCATGATGGACACTCACAAGTATAGTAGGTGGCAGGGCTTGGCTATGCAGATTGATGTCATATGATCTGGAACACAAGGATGTGCTTGCCCATTGATCCTTCAGAGATTAGCTCTGCCTTCAGTGACATACTGCCCTGGTGAACCTTCCCCAGTTTTCAGCCTGTCTCTCTCCAAGCTCTGTGGGCACCAGCCCAGCTGCTACCTAAATAGCCTGCTGACACCTATTGGCTGTATGTCAGCATCCCACCGAGAGGGTAGAGGATGAGTGTCAGGTGAACTGTGCACAGGTTACCTTTGTGTCAAGGCAAAGGTGTGCTGACACTATGAAGAAAGAGCTGGGCATACTAATTCCAGAAGATGCCGGTGTCCGGGAAGAAAACAGATCTCAACTGAAAGGAGCTTCAGGTTTATCTCCTTCAGTGTAGCTAATGTTGGTGTGAATTCCAGCCTTAAGAGTGTACATGAGCCGGGCGGTGGTGGCGCACACCTTTAATCCCAGCACTCGGGAGGCAGAGGCAGGAAGATCTCTGTGAGTTCTAGGCCAGCCTGGTCTACAAAGTGAATTCCAGGAAAGGCGCAAAACTACAGAGAAACCCTGTCTCGAAAAACAAAAAAAAAAAAAAGAGTGTACATTTGGAAAGCCATGAGGCTGCTGTGGGCAGAGGTAGCAACAGTGGCTACAGCTATTTGGTGTTTCGTGTGAGCCCTTAAGAATCTTTAGCTGATTCCAGTTAGCTTGTCTAATGGTTTCAGGTCCAGATGGAAAAATCAGCAAGCCTGCTGTTTATGTGTTGGGCAGTAACTGTTTGCAGAGGTCAGTTCATAAGGCCATGCTTTGGATGCTTGTTCCTGAGAAGGGAGAGTAGATAGAGGGCAAGAGCAGCTGATTTGAGCTCCCCTCCGCTGTATGCCTGTTGGAGTATTGTAATACCGCTGAGGCTTTCCAGTCTCTGCAGAGAATAACGCCATGTTCTGATCATCCTCTTCTGGTTCTTTCCTAGTCTCATCAGTTAAGTGCAAGCGGACACTTTTGAGTTATATCCTGTGATGAGGGCAGCATCCCTGCCTCTTCCGCTCCTCCCCTCTTTAGTACATTATCCCTGCCATCCCCAGGGATAGGCTCTAAGATCTGTGGTGGGTTCCCATAACCACACATTAGTCTGCGCTGTGTAATTTAATGCCGTTTCCATCCTAACCAGACATTTGGCATGCACCATGGCTGTAACTTGAAGTGCATAACAAACATACGTCTGTTTTCTGTCATCAGTTTTACAGACAGAAGATTCCTTAATAACTTTTAGGGCATGACCCCCCCCCCAGGAAAATCGGCACCTGTTGGAGAACGGTTTTATAGACAGTTTACCCTCACACAACTGTCTCATAGCTTCCCCACCAGAGTGCCCAGACTACTGGCCTTTCCGCAGTGAAATCTGAGGCAGCTTGGGCTTTGGTGTAGCTCTACAACACCCAGTGGCTTTATGATGAGCACATTATAGAAACAGGACAGAAGATACCTTGTCTTTGGGGAGCGAAAAGCAGCCTGCTCTCCATCAGTGCGAGGCACTAGAAATGCAGAAGAGGGCTACCCACTGCAGAGAGGCATGCCTCACAGCCTTTCTCTCTGTTCCAGGAAGGTGTGGAAGTACGGGTGGCAAGGATCTTCAACACCTTCGGGCCACGAATGCACATGAATGACGGGCGGGTGGTCAGCAACTTCATCCTGCAAGCACTCCAGGGGGAGCCGCTGACGGTGGGTACTGCCCTCTGGGCCCGGGGGACGCATGGAGTGAAGCAAGAGTGACTTGATTCTGGGACTTAGGTTTCCAGAGTTGAGATTTCATGTTCTTGTGTATTTCTGCTACCCATATGAGAGGAACAGAAACACGTGGGTGGAACACAGACCAGGAATGCCTTCCAGTGAGCCTGGGTGCCTGCTGCATTCACGCTGGACTCCTGGACCCCACCTGTGCCCACTGGCCTGCTTAAACTGCCTCCACTGTTCTCTTAGCCACTTAGTGAAGGCCAGGGGTATGAATGGATGTGGATCTAGGAAGGTGCAGGTCAGCATGGGAAGGAAGGTGAGCCGTGTCTTTGCAAGGTCTTCACTCCTTTACAAGCAAGGATGAAAACTGTTCAGGCCATTTCTAAGAGCCCAGTGCAGCTCCCGTGGTCCAAGCTTAGTAGTCTGAACACGTGCTGCTCCCAACCCGTCAGTCCAGGGTATCATCTAGACAGTAGGACTAGGCACCCCACACCCATCCACAGCCCTCACCTGCCCGGGGAAGCTGCACCCCTGGCCTGCGTACAATTTGGCTTGGGTCCCCTTGTTTGATGAGTCTCTCCATCTCTGCTCTTCTCTTTCTTCTGGCCTTCCCAGTTCTATCCTTGGTGGTCTGCCTCCACGTCTTTGCTCTGCTGTTCTGTAGAAGTTAAACATCCCTTTTCTCCGAAGTTCTGAATAATAGTGTATAGATTTTTAAAATTCTTTTCCTTTTGAAAATGATATAGTGTGTGTGTGTGTGTGTGTGTGTGTGTGTGTGTGTGTGTGTGTGTGTACTTGCACGCATGTGTGCATATGCATATATATGGAGTCCAGATGTTGACCATTGCTCTCCACCTTATTTTCTGAGGCATTGTCTCTCATTGAACTCATGGAACTAATCAGTTGGCTAGACTGGCTGCCAGAATCCTCTAGAATCCCCTAGAACCCTCCTATCTCCACCTCCCCAAGGCTAAAATTACAAGTGCACACTGCCACACATGGATTTCAGTGTGAGCGCTGGGCACCTGAGTTCAGGTCCTTACATTTGTATGGTAAGCACCCTACCCTGTGAGCCGTCTCTCTAGCTTTACTTACTGCTTATCTCTCAGGGGAAAAGCTCTTTTGACCATTCACACTTATCCACATTCCACAGGTTCCCTCCTGATAGACCCACAGAAAAGTCAGACAATTCTTTGTCAGACCATTCTGGGTCCACTTGGGCCTTGACTCGTGAGGGGTTTCACACAGGTGAGCCCACTGTAAAGTTGATGTTTCAGGAACTGTGTGTCCATGTGTGTCCCCACCAATGGACTGATCAACAGAGTTAGAGCACTGTTGTCTGTTGTGTGGTCTCCATTTCTGCTGACTCATTTAATACTCAGAGCAGGGCTACAGGTGCCTCTGACCCTGATTTTCCATGTGAGGAGACTGGGGTACAGAGATCAAAGTGCCTGAGCTTCTGTAGCCTGTGATGACATGGATCTGGGGCCTCTCCTCTGAATCCCTGTTGACTGTTTTGTGTCCTTCATATGTGGTAGCTCTGCTACCAGTGTAGGGCAGAGCCTCCCTGTCCATAGTGGGTGGCCCCTCAAGACAGGCACACTATGTTGGTGGGTTTTGATGAGTACCTCCCAGAAAAGAGGTAGTTCTAGACCTCTCAGCTCCAGCTCTCTAATGGCCCAAGCTCACTCTTCTCCTCTCCCAAAGTGACACCTTGCTGCCCCTTAATGGAGGTTCTGTGGTCATACCTGGCTTCTCTTTCCATACCGTTTATGGGCTCTGCCACTCATCCCGGTGACCTGGCTTTGGATCCGCCCTGCCACCACAGTGTCCCATCCTTGTTCTCTGGTCGTGTTCTCTCAGCCTGGCCTAGAGCCAGCCTTCTGAAGAGGAGAGAGCCAAAGATCCCTCATCTCAGGAACAGCATATGCCACAGACCTTTCCCATGGCTCCTACCCTCCCCACTTCTCACTCCTCACACTGACTTGCTCAGCTCCTGTCTTGCCTGTTCTGGGAGTGTTTCCTCGGCATTCTCCCCCATTCTCTGTAGACAGTGCCGACTGGACCACTCTACGTGAATGTACCATTTGGCTTTTAGTCATCATGGTCTGCTTTCCATTGTACCTGCTACCAAGTGTGAAACACTGCATTTCCAGGCCCCAGAAGAGCATTAGCTCTGGGAACCAGGACCTTTGTTCCTTCCATTTACAGCTGGGTCCCTGGCCCTAGCACACAGGCAGTGTGAGACAAATGTCGATTGAGTTAATGATCAGGTGTGTGATGGCTGCTTTGTATTGCAGTGAGTGGAAAGCCGCTCAGTGGTTAGCCACAGAAACCAGCAGTTTGCAGCTGTAACTGCTAGGTGAACCTGTCTTCCATATCCCCCCTTGTAGCATCTGGCTTCTCTTCAAAGGTTTCTCAGCTGCAGATTCAGCCAGCTGCAAGTCAAAGTGTTAGAAAATACGGTGTCTGTGATAACACGGACAGATGTTGTTTTCCTATATGGAGAATGTACATAGTTTATATGCAAATTCTAAACCATTTCACAAAAGGGACTTGGCCATCCTGGATTTTGATATCCATGGAGTGTTTTGGAACCAATCTCCATAGAAGCTGGGGGACAATTATATTTGGGGTTCAGATGATCTCTATTGAGAAAGACGACGACATCCCGATGCCTTTCCAGCCACCATACACAGTGGCTTACACACAGTCCGAGCGGCTTTGTTTGTAGAGGAAGCTGCTAGCAGCCTTCAGAGAACCAGCTTTCCAGTTTATTGCCTCCTTGGCGGCTTCAAGGCCCCATGCTAAGGAGGAAATCAAGTCCTCTGGCAGCCTCAAGAATGCACACATTGTTGGCAGAGGTCATATCTCATGGGTTGTCTTCAGTGCCAGAGATGTGGGGAGAGATCACTGGCGCCATCCGAATACCATTAATCCAGAGCCTGCCACACTTCCTTCTTCCCTAGCCACCCAGGCAGAAGGCCTGAGGAGGCATTTGAGTGTTTGGGGTTTTTTGTTGTTGTTGTTGTTCCACAGAATTCTATGCCCATCAAGAGCCCGATGAACTGTCCATGCTTTGGATTGGGATACCATTTCTTCCCCTTGTCAGGTGGTTCTGGGTAGAGTGGGAGAGAGATGCTATGAACTCACAGCCAAGGAACAGACTGAGTCTGTGGCGAGAAAAAGAAAGAGGAAGAAGCATTTGGGGAAGGGGGTCCTGACCACTCTGGCCTCCCAGGTTCTTGCTGAAGGAGGCCAGGCAACCTCACAGCTTGGGGAATTGAGGAGAGATGAGAAGCCCAGGCAGTTATGAGGGCTGGATTCACTAAACAGGGCTTCTGTTAACACAGTCTGGGAAGTGCCCAGCTTGGCCTAGACGGTTGGAGACTCTGTAACTTGTTCAGCTCAGCCGAGGTTCTCAGAGCTAAAGTACCTAGTACACATGGCAGAGGACGGTGCTGTGACAGCTCCCTTTGCTGTTCTTACCACCCCCTAATCATCCTGGTGACTCCCGAGTCACCGTACTGCTGTGACCTGAACACAGACAGCACTTAGTCCCCTGAGAGCAGTTTTGAGTCCCCAGAATCTCCTTGAGTCTCTCTTGTCCTGTGACGTGAAGCCAGAGGGCTCACGTGGATGCCAGAGTGCGGGGCTGTACAGACTCGTGAGTGTGGCTGTGTACCCTCTCTGCCGGGAGGACACGCTCCCTCTGAACCAGCAAGACAATGGGGCTTCTCGGGCCTCTGTCCTCGTTGCTCTGCTGAGATTTGCTCCTGTAGTTCTTGTATCCTGTCCACAGACGACTCCGTATACAGCATTGTTCACCTTTGTCTCAGGGGCCCTCCATCCTTGAGCAGACTCTGAAAGCACTGATCCCTGAACTCGACATGTGTGGTAAATGTTAGCATGACAGTCTAGACACATCAACTATGCTTTTCCCTACTTTCCAGAAAAATCTACAGTGGTTGTTAGAATTTTTGAATTTTTGAAATATTTTCATTTTTCTGAGGGACTTCTACCAGGCCCCTTACCTAAATCAGAATAAAGCTCCATAGTTGTTCCAACTGAGTTAGGCTGAGGGCTGCCCAGATCTGTATAGCCTATATCCTTATAGCCACCACCTCACCCTACAGTGCCCTCGATGGCCCTAAGATGCCTGGGACAGCATTTGCTTGTATTTGCTTGTGTATGTAAAAATCAAGACAAACATTGGTAGTGTAGCCAGCCACATTCCTGTCATTATGGAGTTTTTGTAAGCATGCATGTCCTTTAGTGCAAAGGTTCTCGGATTGTGAACCCAGAAACATCCACATCACACATCAGAAGTCTCAGAAAGGTGAATTCTCAGGCTCAGCCCCCAAGATCTTACAGATCAGAAGTGAAACATGTTTTAGTAAGACTAAACCCCTCTGGATGTGTGCTAAGGGGTTCTGACCTGAGCTGTACCTTAAGAGTCTTCCATGAGCTTGAGGAATATATATAAAGCTTGGTCTCCCTCACAGAAACTAATTTCAGCTGTGGCTGGTACTTGGGCATTACTTTTAGGGGAGTGGGAATACAACTGTATAGACTTAGTCAGATAACAAGGGTTGGCAGCCTCAGGTGAAATAGTTTATCCCACCAGCCAGGACCTCCTGGTTCCCACTGTTAATTGATTTTAACTGCTGAGTTCTGTCACAGTAGGCTTTTTATGAGCACTCAGGTCCTCTAACTCAGTTCTTGGCTCAGAGGACTAAGGGTGTTCCAAACCTGTACCTCTGAATCCTCTCAGTCTTTTAGAGGGTCTCAATTTGGCCTTAGCCACATGTTAGAATACCCTCAGAGCCAGCTATACAGCTATGAACAAGCGTGCACCATAGTTTACTGCCTATCTAGGCAGAAGTCTATCATTTGTAATGCATCCAGGGTGTAGAGCCCCCCTCCCCCCGAATGTTGTTAACATTAGTGTGTATATGTGTGTATATATGTGTAGAGCCCCCACTGAATATTGTTCACATTTGTGGGTTTTGTGTGTGTGTGTGTGTGTGTGTGTGTGTGTGTGTGTGTGTGTGTGTGTGTGTGTGTGTGTAGAGCCCCGACCGAATAGTCTTCACGTTAGTGCTTTCCACACGACTGGCCTCCAGGATGCAGTCCCAAAGTCTTACGTGGCTCCTGACGCACTCTAAGACATGGATAGAAGCTGGTTACTGGGCATTGTCTTCCGAGGAAAAACGATGTATATGTACATACATGCTCATCTTAAGTGTCAGTGCTGAAGTACAGAGTATGAGATGTGGCTCAAGATGTTTTTGTTTTCCTTAATAATTTATTTTAATTAAAATATAACTATCTCATTTTCTCCCCTCCCCTCCCCTTCCCTCAACCCTCCTGTTCCTTTACCTACATTTCCCATTTTCCTCTTTACTCCCTTTCAAATTGATGACCTCTTTTCCTTTGATTATTATTGTTACACACATAAACACAGACGCATACATGTATAAATACACCTGCTGAGTCCATTCAGTGTTGCTTACATGTATATGATTTCATGGCTGACCACTTGGTGTTGTATAACCAGTTCATCCTTGGAGTCCATCCTTGGGGAAGACTGATTTTCCCTCTCTCAGTAGTTGTTAGTTGCCTGTAGTTCTTTTTCCAGGGCTGAGGCCTTGTTAATGTATTTATAAGTGTTGTCAGTGTTCTGAGTCCTGTTTAGCATCCATATCATTGCAGTATTGTGGATGTATCTTCTTTGTCATTTCTAGGGGACACCATCTGATCTCACAGCAGGTTTCCTGTTCCTTTGGCTCTCCAAGTCTTTCCACCCCCTTTTTCCTAATGTTCCCTGAACCTCGGTGCAGGAGTTATATTTTAGGTTGAACTGAGCATCCTATGATCAGTTCTCTGTATTTTGACCAGTTGTGGTTTTCTGGGATGGTCTCTGTCCTTGATGTGGGTGACAGTTACATGGATCAGGCAAACAGGTTCATGAACTTCAGTATGTTGTAAGCCCATGTCACTGCCTCTTCAAGGATCAGTTCTGCAGTCAGACCCACAGAATTCCAAGGAGCCCTGCTAATAGTGTCAGGGTAGTTTTTCTCAGGTCTAACTCTTGGTTTCCTTCTAGGTATATGGATCCGGGTCTCAGACAAGGGCATTCCAGTATGTCAGGTAAGGCTCTGGTCCTCAACCTTGGTTCTGAGTAGAGGAATACAGTAACAATTGAGTATATATTGTCCATGCTGGTTATTTCCACAGCTCAACTGTGGAGTAAGTTCATTTTAGTATTTGATGAGGAACCTCTTGCTTTTCTCTGTTCAAGTTGGTTTTCATCCACCATTTCTGTGACTCCTGGCTAATCTTCCACTGCCACCTAGTGTTGCACAGATGAAGTTATCTAGCACTGTGAGGGTAGCTTGGATAATCAGTGCTGCAGGGCAGTTAATCACCCATCAAACCTGCAGACTCAGTTGTCCAACCGGTTTTTTCAAATCTTGGCCTTCTAGCACGGAGAGAGTCTTTAAGAATATGTGATAAGAGTTTCTTAATGGTGACCTTGTGTTGAAGCTGAGGCAGGCTCATGTCCTTGAGAATAGTTTCACTTAGTGACTGGTATTGTTGTCTTTGGAAGAGCCTCCCTAGAATTTGGTTGGTCAACACAGTTGGTAATATTAAACAATTACTACACTGAAGTGTCTTCTACCTATTCATAGTGATTAAAAATTCCATAGAAGTTTCAAACACCCTCGATCATTGTAAAACCCATGTCTATATTTTGATACCATGTACTTTTGTTCTTAAATGCAAATACCTCGAATGACTCTTGACCAGGAAATGCTGTCCCAGGCATCTTAGAGCCATCCAGGGGTACTGTAGGGTAAGATGTTAGCTGTGGGGTGCAGGTCTGAGTCGCCCCTAGCCTCAGCCCGAGCAACCACGTCTTAGTAGCTGAGAAGCTCAGTGGAAGTCACTTAGAAAAATGGGAATGCTGCTTTAATTTTTTTCCCAAAAGATAAAACAGCCAGTATAATTTTTTCCCCTGAAAGTATATACATTCTTACATGTGATCCAAAAGAAGCCATGAATAAACACACGCACCACAGTCAGTGTTTGTTTCTCCTTACCCATGCATAGCTTATCATACAGGGCCAAAAGCCTAGAAACGAGATTTAGGTGGCCATGTGTTGTCCAAATAGGTTAGCTTATTCCAAGAAACAATTCCACCAGGGCACAAGTGGCATCCCCCTCCCGGGACAGTTTCTGTTTTAGAGTGTGGAACTCAGTCTGTGTGCTTGGAGAAATGTGTTGGGGCAGATTTCTGTAGCTGGATTGGACTAGCTATACAGACCACCATGTACTGAACCATCTCTTCATAATAATAACAATGCGTTCTCATTCCATCCCCCTTCACCCCCCACCGCCCCAGTCACAGACTTCCAAGGAGGTCTTAGTGTCTTCAAGTACACAAATTCATCCTTGAACTACTTAATCAGGGCCCCAGACTTTCTCATCGTCCACCATCATAAGACTTGATGTAATACAAAGGGCACCGGTTAGAAGCCTGCCTCTTTTCTGTCACCCTGCCTCAGTGGCGTCAGCTTCAGATATATTTGGTGGGGAGCAAAGGGTGTAGGTAGTTGATTAAAATCCGTGAAGAATTCAGCAGTGCCTATGCTGTGTGCTAACCCAGCTAGAACAAAACACCAGGCCTGCATGGCCACAGCTCACACATCTAGTTGCTGTGACCTGCACATGGTTACCTCCCAGACCACCTGACACCTTGGAAAGAGGGTGTAAGTAATTTCCCTGTTCACAAGAGTGGGCCCTTTCAGTGGAGCCTCTTTCTATAATCCTACCACTGTGGTGCTGAGATCAGCAGGGCTTAGGGATGCTATTTAGTGATTCAAGTCTCCGCAGAGAACTGACCGAGGCTTGCTATTTTTTTTGTTTTGTTTTGTTTTGTTTTTTCGAGACAGGGTTTCTCTGTGTAGCTTTGCGCCTTTCCTGGGACTCACTTGGTAGCCCAGGCTGGCCTCGAACTCACAGAGATCCGAGAGGCTTGCTATTTTTAACACCCCCCCACCCCTTTAAGAAACGGAAACTCCCTTACTTTGTACAGTGTTTGAATCTGCAGTTCCAGTCCTTGGTTAACTGTCCCCAGAGCCACAGTTGCCTCCGCAGCGCTGCGGGGACCCAAGGCCTACATGGTCATCCGCATTGACATCCGGCATGACGTGTCTGATACTCTCATGGTTGGGTTGTGTCCTCATTCACATAACAAAGGCATGTGATGTATTTCTTAAAAGTCACTTTGTCAAAATGACACTTTTAAAGAGCTTCAGGCTGAATGAGTATGACTTAACACAATTTTGACTTTAAAAGTTGCCAGCCTGTTACGTACAAGGTACGTGGCCCTCCCTCCCTCCGTCCTCTCCCAAAGAGGATGACTGCTTAAGAACCAGCCATCTTCCACCTCCAGATGACCCCACCCTTACTTTCATGGTTAAGAGCCATTGTGGACACTGCTGATGGCAGCTTTTAATGTCTCCTTACACACACAGATGGGGGCCGTAAGAATGCGTGGTGGATGTAGTGACTACTGCTGTGGTGATGAAGTGACTTTTTTGCCAGTTTCTCTTAGAAAAGAAATCATTCAAGGTCAATAGTGGTTTGCATTTGCACTTGATCTGTAAGAACAGAACATTAAGCATATAATGTTATCACATAAAATTCCCATTGTTGGAACCGGAAAAGCAGAAATAACCTTATTAAATGACACACACACACACAAAAAAAAATTTTTTCCAATTAAAAGGAGGACAAATCTTTCTTGGGTTTTCTTTCGGAAGCCAGTCATGGCCCATAGTGGCCTGTGCCTTGTGGGAAAGCTGGAGGCAGAGGGAGAGGTCCCCAAGTGGATTCATTCAGAACTGTAGCTGCTGACCATGGGCGTAGAGCAAGCGCTTAGATTCCCAGTGAGGTGTCATTTTTACGAAGTAACTTTTCTTTAACAGAGCCACACTTTAACGCTTCTGAAACTAAGAACCAAACCTTGGTAAGCGGAAGTTTGCTTACTTCTCTTCACCTTCATGGCTCAGCCGATCACACTCCATCTGAAGCATCCAGCTGCCCCCCGACAGCCAGCCAGCGTCAGAGGATGTGCCGAGGGTGGGCTGGAGGCTGGGGGAGGGGGCGGCAGCGCTCATTGATTGCAGTGCTCAGTTTGTTTGGCTTTCGCTGTGATTTGCCAGTATGGAGTTTGCATACTGAAGTCCATTCATTTCTGTGGAGCTTATTTTATTAACAATTGTTAACTTTTGTTTTGGCCGACTCACGGGGGTTACGTTAAACATGGGGCTTTGGGGGTGTATACCTACTTTAACATGTGGTCCTTGATTGTTTTCAGAAATGCGCAGAAAGGGTAGATTTAGCCCATTCTCTCCACCCTGTTCACCACCCCACCACACCCACCAAAAGCAAATCCCAGTGTTACAGGATTCATTTCATCCATGAACATGCTAGCGTTACAAACACCATCTTAATTTACAGGGTTTTATTTCCACATTCAGTTTTCCATTTGGGTTTTTGGTTTTTGTTTTTTTGTTTTTTTTTTTTGTCTGGGGAGGTTTGGTGCGTGCCCTCAGCATCCCCGCTCTATGGTGGGCGTTGCCTGACCCAGCTCTCCCTCTTTTCCAGTGATCTGGTGAATGGCCTGGTAGCACTCATGAACAGCAATGTCAGCAGCCCTGTCAACTTGGTGAGTACCGTTCCGCCTCTCCTCTGCAACAGCTGGAGGGTCTTTCGTGGAGGGCTCTGCTTGCTCATGACTGGCTTCTCTAGGGTCTGCTCCGTACTCAGCTGAAACAAAGCAGATTAAGACACTGAACCACGACCCTTGCGAGGCATGCATGCATGAGCAGTGTAGTGAACTCCCTCTGCCTGTAGGGCTTTGTGTGAAGATCACACTTAGAAGGTGGGTGAAGGCCAGGCGGTAATCCCAGCACTCGGGAGGCAGAGCCAGGCGGATCTTTGTGAGTTTGAGGCCAGCCTGGGCTACAGAGTGAGTTCCAGGAAAGGAGCAAAGCTACACAGAGAAACCCTGTCTCAAGGAAAAAAAAAGAAAGAAAGAAAGCAGATGGAAGCTCTGAATGGATAAAGGCTTATGATAAAAAGCCCTGCTCTGTTGTTTATGCCCGTAAGTTCTTTTATTCCTTTACTCTTTTTAGGAAGCTTTTGCATAAGAGCATTTAGGAACTGTATCTATTTAGAAATATGTCTTCCCACAAGTCAGAAAAGTGTCTGCAAAGAGCCTCCCATAGCCCCCTTCTCCCATCTTCCTTCCATCACTCTGCTCTGCCACTCGGGGTCTTTCTTTGTGCCTACAGTTAAGCCCCGGCCTTCTGGACACTTTGTTCTCTGGGTCCAGGATAGTCTCGGAAGTAGGGAGCTGGAGGGATTTAGAATGCACAGCTGCCAGGCTCTTCCGTGGTCTGTGCTGTGGTACTCGTGGAGTAAGAGTAATAGGTTAGAGCAGTGGTGAGGGACCACCTAGCATGAGCAGGGTCCTGAGTGCTGTCCCCGGCACTCCAAAAATGAAGGCAGCGACTGTTAGAAAATGTGATGGAAGGAAAGGGTTTGCTTAGCAACTCCACCCCAGTCAGCTGACATCATCAAGCCCTTGGAGACTGTCCCTGTGGCTTTCCCAGAACACTGGTCTGTGACAGCATCCATTGCTGCCGCAGCTTTCTCTATAGGATCTTCGGTCCTGCACTGTGAGAGGTTGGCACAGTTCTCATAGCGGAATTATGTTGTCCTAGGAGAGCCAGTAACATGAGGCCAAACATGCAGAGTAACACTAAAGGGACAGAAAAGGTAGTAGATTAAAAAGTTGCTTGTCTTGGAAGTTCACCCAGTGTGGGTGACCCCACTTTAAATGACCTTGTCCTACCTGAAGGCTATTCTTTGGAACAGATAAAGGTCTAAGGCGGTATAGGTTTATACCTGGCCAGGATGAAAACCATCCCAGAATGCTCCAGTGGCACAAGAAGCTGGGGTGAAGTTACTTGGAGGCAGGCTAGTCTGGGGGCTGATGATTCGTACAGCAAATGTCTCTGAAGTCATATGTGTGGCCCACGTAGGGGAGTTCTGCCATTGCCATGATGCTTATAGGAGAATCCATTCCTTCCTTAGGGGAACCCAGAAGAACACACAATCCTGGAATTCGCTCAGTTAATTAAAAACCTTGTTGGTAAGTATGCCAGATCACTCTGACTGAAGTCATCTGCAGTTACCCTGTCTGGTAGTAGTACTCGCCCTAGAGAGTAGGGAATTAGTACAAGCTGACTGACTGAATCAGAGTAGCATTGTTTATGAGGAACATTTCCAGCTCTTCTGAGTTGGGGATCAGAGAGCGGATGGAGTGAGATGTGTTTGGCTCCCAGGTCTAGTTGCAGGTCTGGGTGGAGTGTGGGGCAGAGATTTGCCCTCCAGGTGTGACATGGTTAGGTTAGCACATCCTGCAGGGGGGACCATTACTGATTCCGAGCAGTCCTCCCACTGAGACCAAATTTTAGGAGCAAAGAAACAGTGACATTAGTTCTGTCCAGGCTGGATTTGGCTGTGTGACATTGGAGTAGTTTTCCCATCAAGCAGCAGATGTTCCTGGGTCTGGCCCAGCCCTTGGGTTGCAAGTGCCAAGGAGGTAGCCCCGGCTTCATTCCCAGGCTTGCTGGAGCTCTAGGAAGTCTGGTCTTCAGTCCAGAAACTTGAGTTCAGGACATGCCGATCTGGCCTGGACCACGATATATGTGTGCTGCAGGCTGCTCTGATTTGACCCTGCTGCCCCCTTGGCTGAATGGGCTCCTCCATGTTGACATTCCTGGATCAGGGTTGTGGTGAGCAGCTGTGGACAGCTGGAATCCTGTTCTGTGTGACAGTGGAGACAGAAGTCTTTCTGCCACCTAAGCCCAGTGCTGTGTGGTTCCAGCAGTCCCCTTCAGACTCGCTTCGCAGCCGTACTTGCCCACTGGTGAGGCAAGGTCTGCTGCAGTCACCATGCCCCTCCAGTCACCCTGCCTTTGAAGCCTTTGCTGCGCAGATGGAACCATGGGCCAAAGGCTTTGGTATAACGGCACTGGAGATGTGAGCTCTGGCTTCCCAGATAAGGGTGCACCAGTGATCCATGTGCACTTCACAGTCTAGGAAACCCAGACCTGCAAACTGAGGAGGACACAGGATCCCCACCTGCTGCTACCATGTGACTGTGTGCCACACTTACCCAGGTCTGCATGGTGGTCACTAGAGTCTAGCACCCCACTTCAAGGTGCTTGGCCAGGCTTTTCTGTCCTACACATGCCAGCAGCATGAGCTGACATCTTACATGTTGGTTCTGGGCTTGCTCTGGCTAGAGCATCAGGTCATCATAGGCTCTAAGTTACCATTGCATGCTGTTGCTTAAGAAGGGTGTAGACTACCTGATCTCCAGGGGAGGGCATTCCTAGGTTCCGGATACCCAAGTTGGTCCACTGGGAGCATCCACCTTCAAGGTGGTTCACCCACATTTGTATATTTGTGTTTATGGGGTTGTGCCCCATAGGCACATCTGCATTTGTTACCTGACATGTAGGTTTGTCCTAGGAACAAGCCCTTTTGTTCTCCTGGGAGGATCTTGTGGGACCAGAACCATCCTGCACATCACTGCTTAGTAATGGCCATGCAGGCACATGCCTAGGTTTGTGAGGACTGTGCTATGGCTATGTGCTGAGCTGCTTGTGTAGGGTCCTTGCTCTTGTTCTAGCATAGGTATGATTTTTATCCTGCCATAGATAGGAAAACAGTGCCCCCTAGTGATAAGGGATTCACATGGCCTTACCTTTTCTTTTTTTTTTTCCTTTTTCAAAACTCAGGTAGTGGAAGTGAAATTCAGTTTCTCTCTGAAGCCCAGGATGACCCACAGAAAAGAAAACCAGACATCAAAAAAGCAAAGCTGATGCTGGGGTGGGAACCTGTGGTGAGTATGAGGGAGGTCCCCGGCCTCAGGGGAAAGGCATCCACCGCCCGTGTCCTTCTCCTCCCAAGCTTTTGGCCCTTGTTGGGAGGGAAGTAGGGTGGGCCTGAGTGTCCAGGCAGGTCCAAGGTTTTCTCCAATCAGTGGTATCTCATCCTCTGTTAGTGAAAATGACTCAGGCCTCCTATGAGCTGTTTTCAAGAGAGTACATTAACATGTCCTCATTTCATTCTGTTGCTCTGATAAAACACTGACCAAAAGCACCGTGAGGAGGAAAAGGGGGTCATTTGGCTTACACTTCCAGGTCATAGTCTATCAGTGAGGGAAGTCAGGGCAGGGACCTGGATTCAGGTACCATGGAACAGTGCTGCTCACTGGTTCATGCTTAGCTAGCTTTCCTATACATCCCGTAATAACCTACCTAGGAAACGGCATCATCCTCAGTGGGCTGGACTGTCCTATAGCAGTTAAGACAACCAAGGCAGTATCTCACCGACATGTCCATAGATCAGCCTGGTGAAGACAGTGACTGCATTGAGGTAGATGCTTTACCAGGTAGTTCTAGTCTGTCGGGTTGAAGGTTCCTGTTAACTCTGACCTACATCGGTCTCCAAAGGCAGCGTTAAGTGGGGGAGTGCTAGTTGTTTTCTCATTGCTGTAACAAAAAAACCCTTACCAAAGCAACTGAGAGGGGAGGGAAGGTTTATTTTGGTTCCCAGTATCGGGGGGGTTTCAGTTCGTGGCAGGGAAGTTGTGGCAGCCAGAGCTGCAGAGTCCATGGCAGTGGTTTCTTGCAATGCAGGGACAGGAAGTAAAGAACAGGTAGGTGTACCCTCCAAAGGCCCGCCTTAGCACTTACTATGCTGGCAAGGTCACACCTCCCAAGGGCTCCACCGCCCTTGAAATAGTGCCATGAGCCGAGTGACATCTCAAGTTCAGAGCATCAGAGGATGACAGCAGCATCTCTGCAGGGCCCTGGTGTCCTGGGCTGGACTGGGCAAGGTTTCATGTGAGCAGAGGTGATCTAGTGGTCCCTGTGCTGATCGAACCCCAGCTAGCAAGTGTGAAGGCAGAAAGACGCGGAGGAAGGTGGACTTCCTTCCTGGGGCCCCTAGACTGTCAGGCTCTCCACAGGCTGACCTACTAGACCAGTGGTTCTCAAGCTGTGGGTCATGACCCCTCTGGGGTTGCATCTCAGATAGTTGCATCACAGTGCATAACAGTTATAACATGAAGAACTTTATTGAAGGATCGAGGCATTAAGGAGGTTGAGAACCACCGAACTAAACACTGAAATCTGTCCAGCTCCCTCTCCCTCATTGCTAGGCTGTATTTATACTCTAAACCCCTAGTCTGTCCTCTCCGTTTTTGGTGGAGAGCTCCTCCCCTATCCATGAACACCAATATCCCAGGGCTGTGTGTAACCTGTAGCACAAATCCTAAAAGATCTCATTAGTAAAAACAAACCTGGAGCCAGGTATTGGGGTGAACGCTGAAAGATCAGAGAAACAGAGCAAGCCACAGCCAACCTCACCTCACCAATTCCTCAGCTGATCTTGTTTCCTCAAACTGGAAGCCTCTGTGTCCTCATCCAAATGGATCTCAGCTGAATTGCTGTTAAAAGCCTAAAAGCTTAACGGGGCCTACTTCCTGGTCTTCACACCTTATATACCTTTCTGCTTCCTGACATTATTTCCCGAGATTAAAGGTGTGTGTCACCATGCCTGGTGGTTTCCAGTGTGGCCTTGAACTCACAGAGATCCGGATGAATCTCTGCCTCCCAAGTGATAGGATTAAGGGTGTGTGTGCCACCATTTTCTGGCCTCTATGTCTATCTAGTGGCTGTTCTGTTCACTGACCCCAGATAAGTTTATTAGGATGCACAGTATATTGGGGGGACACAATATCACCACAGTCGCCCCTCAAGTGTCTGTGCTTTACAGGCTCACCTCCTTATAGAACATTCTCCTGGCCCACCAGGCTGCAGGAGGGAGATGCGTCTTTGCATCTACTGTGCCTGGCCGTTCGCTCTTTGCTGCGCTCCTCTGGAAGTGACCTTCCCTGGGTAGAGCATGTGGCCTCATAGCATGGCAGCCATCCCAACAGCTGTTGCAGAAGCAAAACCGTATCAGGTGGAAGGTAAACATAGGGCAGGTGGGCCTGCCTCACTGTGAGAGCAGTAGAGGACCCACCAGGAGGCAGAGTGCTGCCCCGAGCTCAGCTTACCTGTTGAAAAGGCATGGCATAGTCAATGTGAGGAGGTAGAGTCTAAACTAAAGAAATCTGAAGGAATGTTAGAATTTTAGTCCAACTCTTGTGCTGCTATACAGAACCTTGAGTCTGAGAGATCCTCTAAAGGACAGAAAATTAGTAAATAAAAAATGAATATGCTCAGACTTAAAAATCTAGGAATCCCATCTGAACAGAGCAAATTGTGGAAGCAGAGGTCCGGGGTCTCTGAGTTTTGTTGTTTTTATTCATGTATTTTATATTTGTAAGTGTTTTGTCTGCTTGTATACATGTGTGCCACGTGCATGCAGGGCCCACCGAGGGCATCAGCCCCTTTGCTACTGGAGTCACAGATGGGTGTGAGCTACAGTGTAGGTGCTGGGAGCTGAACTCAGGTCCTCTGCAAGAGCAACAAATGGCCTCGACAGCTCAGCCGTCTCTGCAGCTCCAGGTTCTCTGACTTTTGGCAAGAATTTGTCATTTGTCCTTTTGTCCCCAAAGCATGTGTTTTAAACAAAATGTTTTAGGAAAATATTCAATGTATATTTACTAAATACACACTCTTGGTTTTAGAGGTGTATGTACAGCCAGGATATGTGCTTAGAACTTGTATCTTATCAGACATCATCGGGAAGACACGGAGATACGGAACATTTGCCATTGGATTCTTTGTAATAGGAGTCTTAATTGATAGGAAATATATGAGTCTCATCCAAAGACACCTAGACATCTCAAACATAATTGTTGTGTATGCATGTGAGTGCGGGCAACTTACTAAATTAGAGAAAGCATCCTAACTTGGTGAAGAGGTGTTTTTATGTGCATTCCCCTAATATTTGGTGATCCTAAGCATTTTCATAAATCTATTGTCTGTTTCTGTGCCTTCCCTTGAAAAAAATGCCTACTTAAATCTGTTTTTTAAAATTGTGGTCCTTATATGTTTTTACTATTAACTCCTTATCAGATACGTAGTTGACAAGTATTTTCTTCCATTCGGTAGGTTCTCTCTGCCTGCTTTTTATTTTACTGAGAGAAGCTTTCTAGTTTATTCAGTTTGTCTGATTGTTTCCTCTGCTTTCGGGGTCTCATGTAATGCGTATGTAGTGAAATGCCCATACTTAAAATATATAATAGGGTGTATTTTGTTGTATTCTGACACCTACAACACTATCACCATCATCAGGACAGACAAATACCAGCAAATTGACTGTAGTTCCTGCTAATGCCTCCCTCCACAGCTTTCTCTTTAGCCTGTGTGACTCAGCAGCTAATTGACTTCTGCTTCCTGTTTCCAGCTCCAGGTTAAGATTGCTTTAAATGTCGTCACAGTCCGTGGGTCCTTCCCTACCTATACTGTCAGTGTGAGTGCAAGTGTGTCGTGGGGGAGGCCCAGTGAGGCAGGTGGAGACCGCCTCCTCAGAGCATCTTCCTTCCAGTTCGTGGAGGGTTTCCTCAAAAGAGTGGGCCCACATGCATTTCAGAACTGGTCTCTGCAACTGACTTTAGTAGGCATGCCTGCAAGAGGGGACTCGGGAGCCTTGGGAACTTGAGGTCACTGATAGTCAGTGTCACTTGCTAACTTGCAGAGTGCGCAAAAGTAGCTCTAAAGAACTTCAGGCATCTCCAAAGTGGCCTTGATCGACTCCCGGCCAGAGTCACAGGCCTTGACTGTCCTCATGAAGTGGGCAGCTGACTGCACCCTTTCATCTCCAGGGCACTTTGCTGTTTGCCTTTCTGTTGATGGAACCTTGTCCCTTTTCCTCACTCTCTCCAACAGGTCCCATTGGAGGAAGGGTTGAACAAAGCCATCCACTACTTCCGGAAGGAGCTAGAGTACCAGGCCAATAACCAGTACATCCCCAAACCTAAGCCTGCCAGAGTGAAGAAGGGCCGGACGCGCCACAGCTGAGTTAGCCTTAGGACATGAGACTCCGTTTTACACTTAATGAAATGGACTTTTGTGGGATTTTTTTTTTTTAAAGACTTAAACAGGTGTCATGAAGAACAAACTGGAATTTCATTCTGAAGCTTGCTTTAAAGACATGGATGTGCCTAAAAGCTCCCTCAAAACCTGCAGACTTTGCCTTGCACTTTTGAAATCTGTCTTTTTATGTACAACAGCCTAGATGCATCTGCTATTTTCAGGTTTTTTATCTTGCTGTTAGAGTGTGTGCTGTAACTGTCGTTGACAGTTTTATTTACTGGTTTCTTTGTGAAGCTGAAAAGAAACATTAAATGGGGTGGAAAATGCCAATTTTATTTATAAAAGTGGGTACTTATAAATGAGACGTTACACTATGCATAAGGAATAAAAATCCTAGTGGTATTGTCAGGGGGGCGGCACACCAGCGTTTATTTGGGGATAAATGAAAACTGTTGGAAAGTTTATTTCCTTTTTAATTTAGAATTTTCTGAAGGTCTGGTTTTTAGTTGCAAACTTGACTTTGAAACATCTCTGTTGGTTCTTGATCAAAGATATTTGAAATCACACTACTGTGTTGTGCTGCATATCGGGGTGGGGAGGTCGGGGAACAACGTTAACGTATTCTTGGTTAACCATGGTTAAATATGCTATTTTAATAAAATATTGAAACTCACTGGTCATGGACTTTGAGCTACAAAGGTTGGCTTTTGGCTTTGCATCAGATGTTGGGTTGCTGTGAATAATACTGGAGATCTTAGTTTGAGGAAATTCTGAGAACATCTGGTTTACACCATACTTAACTTCATGTGTGGCCATTGGAATCATCTGTGTGCTACTTGGGCTGAATCTGTGTATATGGTACACACTGCATGTGTCCTTATCTGAAATGCTTGAGATCAAGTGTTCCAAATTTCATAATTTATTTTGTTTAACTTGGGAATAGTTTCCTAGAGTATAGTTTGGGCATCATAAATCCCAAACCTGAATTGTTCTGAAGTCTGAAATCCAAGTGTCCTTTCAGCACTGGGGATTTGAAGTTTAGGGGCACTCAGGCTCTGTTAACTATGGTGTGAAGTTCTCAAAGCTCAGCCTGGGTTAGGATAGGTTTTGCATCCTGTAGCAGCACAAACCCGATGAAACAAAAGCTTTCTTCATTTTTCTAGTGTAGAATTCAAGCAAGTTTTGCTGAGTGAAATGAAAACTTCAGGAGTTAACATTTTCATTAAGAACTCTCCCAAAGTCTGTGCTAGGATTTAATTTTGCCCTTTAAAATAAATGGAAGAACAGCACAGTGCGCAAAAGCAGCCTATCTCCAAGCAGATTGGCCCTGCATGGTAGCAGCAGAAACCCGAACAGATGCCCAAGCAGTGGCAGAAATATCTACAAACAGGAACACCGGTGATAGCTGAGCTATGTCTGTCCTTCAAAACCACATTGGACTTTTTTTAAAAATAGGATACGTTTTTTGAATGAAAGGCCCTGGAATCCATCCAAAGGTGCTGTGACTCTGTCATGATAAATTTACCAGAAGATTCTGGAACTGGGGCTAAGACTGAACATGATGTAAGATCAAAAATAACCTACACACACACACCCACATGCGGTTAATCGGTCACTGACTACACCCCCCCAGCCTCTTATTTTTAGTTCCCATTATTTTGGACTGAACTAAGTGATACATCATTTAGAGAGGTGGGGTGGGCAAGTGGAAGCTTGCTTGGAAATTAATGATGGTGCATTTGGACCAAAGAAGAATGTGGACAGAAATAGCTCGGAGCTATTTGTGTTGCTAAGCTAGCCAGTATAATCTGGGAGTATCCAGTAGCCCGAGGACCGAGAATTCTCTTAGCTTATTACTAATAAGCTAATATCTGAAATTCCTTCATAAGACTCACTCTTCTGGGTATCCATAGAATATTTTCCAAGTAGTAGAAGAGAAACAGATGTGTACAATTTCCCCTAAGGGGGTCATGCATCCAGGAAAACATGAGCTTTGAATTAAGCATGATAGTATCTTGAGCCGAGAGGGAAATGAAGTTGAGGGATGGATAGGTAATGTCTGCTGAGGTCCACATGTTTCGGCCCCTCTGGATCTACAGGTTTAGGTACCTACTCTTCAGTGCAGTAGTGTTAAGAGATGAGGTCAGAAGGGGACCTTTCCTGGAGGAGTGCCAGTGGCTTTTGCTTGCCTTTTACTGTTACTCTGAGAAGGCACTTTGTGAACTAGAAAGGGGCCCTCGCCAGACACCAAAGTTTCTCAGCACCTTGATCTTGGACTTCGGAGCCCTTGAAACTCTGAACAATGATTTCCTACTCTTTATTAACTACCGAATCTATAGCATTTTGTTAGAGCAACCTGAACCTGCCTTTTGGAAGTGGTCCCCTGTTGAGGTGTCCCTGCTGTGGCCTCTTCGGGGAGAGATTGCTACAGTTCTCTTGTTCATTTAGTGACAGTCCAGTGGGCTTGAGCAAGGAAGACATAGTCTGAACTGGGTTGCAGCTGTCGAGTTGAATACTGAGCCCAGCCCACCAGTCAGAGGGAACCTCATAGCATTGTCTTTGATTATGACCCTGGACCTGCATAGTGGTCCTCAGTCACAGTCACGTGACCTTGACAGCCGCTGGGGTGAGTGGAGTATTACTCCTGTGGTTGCTGTCCTGTCTAGTAAGGTTGTAGGGGATTTGGAGGTTCTTCGATGATTCTTCTGAAACAAAACTTGTGAGTTAACTTTTCCATGTAGCTATCAAAAGAGCTGGTTTAGTGGACCTACCCTTTTTTTGGTGGTTAATCGGGACCTTTGATGCGGGGGTGCTAGAGAATTCTGTTATTCTGAGAATTGGATACCACAGTATCCGGAGGCAGCACGGCTTTGCCGTTCTCATCTCCGAGGTTAGCCCACATGCTTTCTTGATTGTGTCCTGTTTGCATTTTCGTTCACAGCTGTGTTGCAAGAAGGAAGATACCGATTTTTATCAGGAAACTTGAGCTGGGCTGTGGGTGGGGCTGGAATGTAGCTCACTGGTTCGTGTGATAAAACTTCAGCTCCCTTTCGTGAGGACTGAGAGGGCTAGGAGCGCAGGCCTAAGGTGGTGCCCCAAGGTGGTGTCATCCAGGGTTCATTAGGGTTTGGTCAGTCTTCAGAACGCCGCCCCATGCCTGAGTTCCAGGGACCAAGAGGAGACAGCAGAAGACGCATATGTTCCCTGTCACCATTTGAAGCCATTGGACCTCTGCACTTGAGAAGCTGTAGCCACTTATGACAACTGGAATGGGTCCAAATAAACGTCTTTTCTTTCAAAGGTACCCAAGTCTGTAGTATTTGAACAGCATAAAACATCAATAAAGAAAATGTATACCTGCTTCAGGTTTTTGTTTTGGTTTAGTAACAAAAGACTCATACAAACGTCAGTGTTTTTAAAAGTCTTGTTTGGGTACTTGCTGGGTTCTGTGTTTTTTGATTTATGTACATTTGTTTGAAGTTAAGCTAGTGTGAATATAAAGACCCAGGCTAAAAGATCCAAATACCGGACTCTCTACCGTTTAAAATGTCTAAAATGCAAGGAAGAAACATTTGCAAGAGATCAAGGAAGGTATACAGCACATATGCTTCTAGCTAAGTACAGTAAGCCATTTTGGACATTGACTATGAGACAAGTATCAGACTATGTGAATAGAAATGGTAGCCTGCCCAGGGACCTCAGGACTCGGTGAAAGACATACTGGTGTTAGGGGCTGTATTGCATTGTCCCAGGTTCACGTTGTGACCTAAACTTTCCCGTCTACTCCAGGACCCCAGAATTTGTTGTGACCTAAACTTTCCCGTCTACTCCAGGACCCCAGAATTTTAGAAGTAGATTCTGTAAAGTTGATTAAGTTGTGATGAAGTCTTCGGGGTGGGCCCTAATCCAGTCTGGCTGGTGACCTTGCAAAGGGAAGGTTAAACACCACACATCGGCACACACAAAGGCCGTGTGAAAACACAGCAAAGCCGCCATGGGTAAACCCAGGCAAGGGTGGGGCAAGGGGAGGGAATGTCAAGAAAATGGCCTGCTGGCAGTTTTCTTTTTATTCTAAAGACAGAATCTCACTCATACTAATGACCCTTTTCCCTCAGCCTCTTAAATGTCGGGTTACAGCTGTTACTATGCCTGGTACCTGCCTATGCCTATCTTGAGTTTCCATCCTCCGGATTTCCTAGAAAATTACTGTTATTTAAGCCACCTCCAATATCTATAGCCACCCTAACAAAGTAGCATTCTCGGGAAGTTCCCTGGGTTTTCTTTTTTTGTCTCGGGAATCCAAGACTTGAAACTGGAGAAACCCACAAGCCAGGACTGTAACAAGGCAGTTTAAAAGGGGGGGTGGGGGGGGTGGGGGGCAGCAACAAAAACCTCTTCTCTATGGCCACTGTGCAAGAAGGATGCAGCCTGGGGGACAGAGCTTTCACTGCAGTGGTTCTGCTAGAATGAAATAGTGCTTCAAATGTGATTCACCCCTCCCATACTGGGGCAGGACCAAGCAAGTCCTGGTGACCCTTGCTCATCTGGGGTGTGGTCTTCAACCCCTCCAACTCTCCACCATGTTGTATCGGGCCTTGAAGCAAGGTTAGTTAGACATGAGATCGAACCTGTGTCTCTGCTGGCTGGTAATAACTGTATGCTATCAGAGAGATCATGGGACCCTAGACTTTCATTGGGGGGTCCTTCTCTTCCCATTAGAGCGGTGTCTCAAGGTGGCTGTATAGGTGCTTGGGCTTTCATCACAACAGGCAACCCATGGAAGCCAGGGGAAGAGTGAAGAGGCATCTACCCCTCCCGAATGAATGTCACCAATGAGGCCTGGGGGAGTCGGGACTTCTACCCCAACCCTGGAGCCCTGTCAGAGCAAGCTGCTGAAGCCAGTGTTCAGACCACACCCAGGGTCTTACAACATCGGTTTCAATGAGAAGTCACTGCCAAGCCATAAGAAGGTCCCAAACTAAATGACAGGAGAGCACATGTGGCACAAAGGGCCTCCATTGCCAGAACTGACTACAGTCTAAAAGCCACCGGAGTTACAAGCTGTGGTGATTTGAATGAGCCGTGTTCCCTATAGCCTTGGGCATTTGAACACTGGGTCCCCAGTTGGTGATACTGTTGGGGTGGGGGTGAGTGGTTAGGTAGATGCCGCTGTGAGGGAGTTCACAGCTTTGCCCTGCTTCCTGCTTGCTCCCTCTGCATCATGCTTGCATTTGAAGATGTAAGCTCTCAGGTTTCCTCTCCTGCACCCTGCCTACCTACTACCATGCCTCCCAACCATGATGGACTCAGCCCTCTGGAACCGTAAGACAAAATAAGCCATCCTATAAGTTGCCTTGGCCATGGGGTTTTATCACAGTAGCAAAAAAAATAACTGATACACAAGCATACTTAAAAAAAGGAAAAGTTAAAACACATCTTTAAAAAAATGGAAAATTTTTAATTGAAAAAGTAACCAAATCGAAAATTGCTGGTGGGTTCAGCATGCAACTCTCAGAACAGACCTGCCGTGTTTTCAGAGCCCCAGAAAGAAGACAGAACTGAAGACAACTCAAAAGTTCTGGCAAATTTCCACATTTAGAGAGGCAAAGCAGCCAATGTAATAAAAATGCTAAGCAAAGCATTACCGAGAAATACATACCACTTTACTGTCAA